AGGGCGACAGCTACGACGGCTACCGCGACAACCCCAGCTAGTATACCACTCACTAAGCTGCTGAGGCGTCAGAGGCTCGCGTGAATGTCGCTGGAGCTGCATCTGGCCACCTGCCAGTAGCAGTAGCGCAGGAAAGGCAGGCGCGGCAGGCAGGCAAGCAAGCAGGCAGGCAGGCAGGCAGGCAGGGCGGCAGGTAGGCAGGCAGCCAGGCAGGCAGGCAGGCAGGCAGACAGGCAGGCAGGTAGGCAGGCAGGCAGGCAGGCAAGTAGACACGCAGGCAGACAGGCAGGCAGGCAGGCAGGCCGGCAGGCAGCCAGGCAGCCAGGCCGGCAGGCAGGCAGGCAGACAGGCAGGCCGTCAGGCAGGCAGGCAGGCGCTCACCAAAGGCTGGGAGAGCAGGGCCGGCGCTCGAGTAGGCGCACGACAGCGGCGACGTCGGGGCCGCAAAACCGGCTGCAGAGCAGGGCCGAAACAGCTGGAGGGCGCTGCCGCGTCAGCGGCAGTAGCAGGGTGGGGCCGCGTCAGCGGCAGGTCGGGGTCGTGGCAGCTGCAGGGCGGGGCCGCATCAGCGGCAGGTCGGGGCCATGGCAGCTGCTGGGCGGGGCCGCATCAGCGGCAGGTCGGGGCCGAGGCAAAGGGCCGCGCGCGGCCGCGCTAGGGAGTAGCGGGCCGCGCGCGGCTCGGCGCGGGCTGTTGCGGGCCGCGCGCGGGCCGTGCGAGGCAGGAGCAGGCCTCGCGCGGCTCGGCACGAGCTGCTGCGGGCCGCGCGCGGGCTGCGCGAGGCCGTAGCAGGCCGCGCGCGGCTCGACGCGGGCTGCGCGGGCTCGGCGCGGGCTGCGCGCGGCAGCTGCGAGCTGCGCGCGGCTCGGTGCGGGCTGCGCGCGGTTGCAGCGGGCTGTGCGCGGCTCGGTGCAGGCTGCGCGCGGCTGCAGCGGGCTGCGCGCGGCTCGGTGCGGGCTGCGCGTGGCTGCAGCGGGCTGCGCGCGACTCGGGGCGGGCTGCGCGATCTCGGTGCGGGCAGCGCGCGGTAGCAGCGTGTGTGCGGGCCCGACAGGCGTGTAGAGGCGGCGCGCGGGCCTTACGGGCCTCTAGGGGCAGCGCGCAGGCAAGGCAAGGCAAGGCAAGGCATACAAGGCAAGGCAAGGCTACGTGGGGTAGCGCGGTAACCGCAGCGGTAGGTGGGCCCGAAAAAAAAACGGTCCTACGGACCTTAGTGCTCTGAAACCATGTTAGAATCTAGCAGCAGGAATGGATGAACTAACAGGATGCAGGAGTACAAGTAGTAAACCCTAACTAGGTTGTACCCCATATGGGCTACCCCACTACAGCCTAGACAATATGCAGCACATATAGTTTGACAATTGGCTGCTCCGTGACCTGTATCGGTGCAGCTGTTTTCTCGTCTCGGGGCTACAAACGCCCGAAACGAGCGTTTTTCTTCAACGTGAAGACGCCATTCGTGAGTTCACGGACCTGCGATTATGCTGGAAAGTGCCTGGGAGTAAAGCGAGAACGATTGGTCACGGAGCTCCACGACGGAAAATTGCCTGCTCTGTGACCTGTATCGGTGCGCTCGTTCCGAACGTTTTTCTTCCGTCGGGTCACGTGGCTGCGCTTGTCTGGTCCTCTTTCCAAGCCAGCAAGGGCGTGGGAGGGTTGCGAGCATCATCGGTCGTCGGCGCTCGCGAATGAAGAGCGCCCGCTGCACTTCCTGCACACGTGCGGATCCTTCGTGTTTCGGGTGTGGAAGCGCTCGGTCCGAGCGTTTTTCTTCTGTCAGGTCAGGTGGCTGTGCTTGTCTGGTCCTCTTGCCAAGCCAGCAAGGGCGTGGGAGGGTTGCGAGCATCATCGGTCGTCGGCGCTCGCGAATGAAGAGCGCCCGCTGCACTTACTGCATGCGTGCGGATCCTTCCGCGTTTTGGGGGTGGAAGTGCTCGTTCCGAGCGTTTTTCTTCCGTCGGGTCACGTGGCTGCACTTGTCTGGTCCTCTTGCCAAGCCAGCAAGGGCGTGGGAGGGTTGCGAGCATCATCGATCATCGGCGCTCGCGAATGAAGAGCGCCCGCTGCACTTACTGCATGCGTGCGGATCCTTCCGCGTTTTGGGGTGGAAGTGCTCGTTCCGAGCGTTTTTCTGCAACGTAAAGACGTCATTCGTGAGTTCACGGACCTGCGATTATGCTGGAAAGTGCCAGGGAGTGAAGCAAGAACGATTGGTCACGGAGCTCCACGACGGAAAATTGCCTGCTCCATGACCTGTATCGGTGCGGCTGTTTTCGCGTCTCGGGGCTACAAGCGCACAAGACGAGCAATTTTCTTCAACGTGAAGACGTCATTTGTGAGTTTACGGACCTCCAATTGTGCTGGAAAGTGCACCTGGCCGCGTACAACACCTGGCGGCCATGCACCTCCCAGCCCTCCCCCGAATTGTAGTCTAGTCACCACCACTAGCAGCACTGGGAGGCCTGTTACAGTCGGTGCTCATTTCAAGAACACCAGGTAGGCGGGCGGCATGTGAGTGAAACGAGTTTTGAGTTTTTCGCCACATTCGCCCTTGTCGCCACGGGCAAAAATGTGATTGTAAAACGAAATTGGAATGTGAAACGAGTCTAGGGGTTTAAGTTCGTAACCAGGTAAACAATTCTGATGACAGGCAGCCGTTGTTGTTTATGAACTGTAGATGTTTTTCTTCCTCAACATGGTGACTGTACCCCGAAATCAGCACAATCACCACTCACAGGCAAAACGTTCGCGAGTGACTGATTTTTTTTTTTGTGAGAAGCAATTTTTTGTGATAGGCTGAGCATCGACTGTAGTGCATGCCCGTGGAGGTTCTCGCTCCATCTCTCGCGCGGATCGCAGCGCGGCGATGCACGCTTAGCCGCTTAAAAGCGTCGCTGGCTGTGGTTCCGCCGTGTCTCACGCGCCATCGCCAGCTGCTGCGATAGCGATCCTCGCAACCCGTCGCACCCGCCGCACCCGCCGCCGCAGCGACAGCAGCAGCAGCAGCAGCAGCAGCAGCAGCAGCAGCACCAGCAGCAGCAGCAGCAGCGGTGGCCGTAGCGGCAGCGGCGACGGACCTGTTCTTGTGCAGCCGCGAGAGGCTGGCTACATCTGACGCGCAGCGGACGCCTACAAGATCAACTAGACAAACAGCATTAACAGCGTCCGCAATTTCGCCGTCCATAACGCTCTTCCCGCCGCACCGGCCTCTCCCTCCTGGTCCGATTCGGGTTGGTCAATCGCACGCGCAGGTCCATGCTGCTCTCGCTCGGCGCGCTTTGCCGCGGCACGTGAGACCGCAGCAGGCTCGCAGGAGTTGGCGTGTGGTGTGCGAGGAGTCGCGGCACGCGCCGGCGGACGACAGCCGCGACGCGGAGACTCCCAAGGATCGCGCGTTCCGTGCGTCAGGCGCTCCCCGTCGATCCAGCTTTGCTGCCGCGCACGGCCCCGCAGGAGGGTTACCAACGGGAGGGTTACAGACGGTCGCGAGCTCTCGAAGCTCATTTACCGAAGATGGGCAGGGGGTTGCATCGGCGAAGCGGCGAGTGCAGGGGCCGTGGAGGCAGCACTCCTCTTTCTGCCTGCAATCCGTCGATCATCCCGCCCTTCCCTCTCTCCCGCTCCGCTCGTCTGCGCCCTCGTCCGCCTCTTCCGCCTCTTCCGCCTTCTCGCCCTCTTTCCGTGCCTCCTCGTCGCATTGGCGGGCCTCCGCGGCTCCGGCAGGCTCGGCAGGAGGCTCGGCAGGCTCCGTCTCGTTAGAAGCTGACGCGTTGCTGGGCACGGGCCCGGCGCAAGAGGCGGCTCTGGCGGACAAAGCGATCGCGCGAGCTGATGCAGCAGCAGCGGCAGCGGCAGCGGCAGCGGGGGGTGCCGCTGCTGGCGCAGGCGCGTTGACTGTAACGGGGGGTGGACGAGGCAACGGACGTAGTGAATCGAATCCTAATAGTAATCATTGTACTACTCGTTCTGGTCCAAACTCCAGTGACTCTCAGTCTCAGCAGCTAGCTCTCCTGCAATCTAGGACGGTTCACAAGAAGACAGCAGCAGCAGCTAGCTCGTCTACAGCGGCCAAATCGTCTACAGTCGCTCTCCCCCTCCGCCGCCGCCCGTTCCTCTTCCCCCTCCGCCTCCTCCGCGTGCGCTTCCGCCTCGCGCGCCGCGCCCTGCGCGCGCTCACGTTGCGCCAGGCCCTGGGCGTGCTGCTCGCGGTCTCCTATTGGCTGCGCTGGCCGCTGATCGCGCTGGCGCTGGTGCTGGGTGCCACGTGGCAGATGAGGCATCCGGGAGTGCGGGCGGCAAGGCCTGTCGCGTATTCTGACATGGTGGCAGCGGTGAAAGCGGGGAGAGTTAAGAACGCGGCTATGGAGGAGAGCTCGAATCGCATCTGGTTCAACGTGCATCGTAGGAGCGCTGCTGACGTGAGCAGCACTGCTTCTGACGTGGCCTCTGTTGCTGACGTGGCGTCTGCTGCTGCTGATTCTGCTGGTGCTGATGCATCTGCCGCTGGTGTCACCGTCACCACATCTGCTGCGGTGTCTGATCGGCTCGCTGACAAGCCAGAAGCAGCAACAGTACCAGCCGCAGCAGCAGCGGCAGTACCAGAAATTGCAAGTGAAACTAGTCTTTCAAACGCACCCACTGCTGCCACTGCTGCCGGCACAGCCACTGCTGCCACTCCTGCTCTTGCTTCTGCTCCTGTTCCTTCTGCTCTCACCTCCCCACCGTCTCTCCTCCCGCCCTCCCCCACGCACTCCTCCTGGCGCTCTTTCCTCGTCTCCCGCGGCCAGCCGTGGTCCTCCCTAGTCCGCCTCCCAGCAGACCCCCCTTTCGCTTACGTCACACGCCGAGTCCACAACGACGAGTCATTCCTCCTCCCTCTCCTCATCACCCACAACGTGCGCGTCGCCTCCGTGCCCGTCCCAGCCTCCCAAACGCTCCGCACCGTTCTGTTAACCGCGCTCACCGTTTGGATACCCGTTGCACCGCTGATTTACCTCATGATGAAGCAGCTGAACGGGGGGAGGGACGGTGGGTGGCGCCGGGGGGGGCGGGGGGCGGGCGGGGGGAAGGGCGGAGGGAAGGGCGGGAGGAGAGGAGCAGGAGGAGGGAGGGGGGCGGCAGGGGAGGTGAGATTCGAAGATGTAGCAGGGGTGGACGAAGCAAAACGAGAGCTTATGGAGTTAGTTCAGGGGATCAAAGGCGCCGGTGCGTTTGCTGCTATGGGCGCGCATATCCCCAAGGGTGTTCTCCTCATTGGTCCCCCCGGCACGGGAAAAACGCTGCTCGCTCGCGTGGTGGCGGCAGAGGCAGATGTGCCGTTCTTCGCTGCGTCTGCGAGTGAGTTTGTCGAGATGTTCGTTGGGAGAGGCGCTGCCCGCGTGCGGGAGCTGTTTCGAGAGGCGAGGAAAGCGGCTCCAGCGATTGTGTTTATCGATGAGATTGACGCAGTGGGGGCGCGGCGCGGCGCGAGCAGCAACGACGAGCGGGATCAGACCCTCAACCAGCTGTTGACAGAACTGGATGGGTTTGACTCGCCTGATGATGGGGTGCTGCTGCTGGCTGCTACGAACCGGCTGGATACTCTTGACCCGGCGTTGACCCGATCTGGGAGGATTTCGCGACGGGTGATGGTGCCTCTGCCTGATGTGGATGGAAGGAGGGATATTCTGAGGGTGCACATGCGGAGGATGGGAGAGCGGATGAAGGGGAGGAGGAGCGGTTCAGGGGAGGGGCGAGTGGGAGGAGGTGTGGTAGGGGGAAGAGGGGGAGTTGGAGGAAGAGTGGGAAGTGTGTGGGATGTGCTGGGGGCGGAGGAGGAAGAGGAGGGGATGAGGACAGTGGTGGCGAGGTATTCAGAGGGGTTCTCAGGGGCGGACCTGGAGAACGTAGTGAATGAAGCGGCATGGCTCGCTGCACGGAGTGGTGAGTGAGCTGGATGATTATGTGTTGCTTCATGGCTTTCTTCCCTTGTTGCGCTGTTTCCTTGCTCGCTTGCCTGCTTGGAGAACGTGGTGAATGAAGCTGCATGGCTCGCTGCCAGGAGTGGTGAGAAAAAATGCAGGATGATTATGCACCTGGTTGCCTTGTTCCTGTGTCGGGTTGCTGCCTCATTGCCGTGCTTGCGTATCTGCATGCTTGCTTGCTTGCCTTCTTGGAGGATGTGTTGAATGAAGCGGCGTGGCTCGCTGCTAGGATGGTTGTGTCTTGGCTTGGTGCCTTGTTTTCTTGCTTGCTCGACTGCGTTCTTATCGCATGGGCTGTGGCTGCTCGGAGATTGTGATGAATGAGGCTCTTTGGTTCGCTGCCAGGGCTGGTGAGATCTGGATGGATGGATGGAAGGATGGATGGATGCATGCATGCATGCATGCCTGGACATGTGTTGCCTTGACAACCACACCCCCTTCCCCCCCCCTCCCTCTCCTCGCCTCTTTGCTTGCTGGCTTGCTTGTTTGCCTGCCTGCAGGCGAGGCACGGGTGAGTCTGGACCATCTGCTCGATGCAGTGGAGCGCACTCGCAACGGCATCGGCATCACCAGCACCACCACTGGCCTTCGCATGAAACCCCGTACCCGTGGCGGCAGTAGCAGCAGCAGCAGCCCCCTGCTTGGGTTTCTATCTCGTGCCCTTGGACCGTTGGCGCAGCAGCAGCAGGAGAAGGATGTGCCTGCGCGTGCCATCTCACCCGGGATCTGAGTGTGCTCGAATCAGCATCGAACGATTGAGATGGGCTACGAATGGTAGCTTGACAATCGAGGTGCTCTGAGCTGCTTTTAGCCCGGTTGAGTTGGGTTCAGTGGAGTCAGTAGTAGTACCGTAGGTAGTCTCGCTCAAGTGCATGTGAGGTGAGGTGAATCGAATTGAGAAGTCCCATTTATTGTTTGATGTTTCAAATCAACACAACACCCAAACCAAACCATACAATACAAGTGCATGTTAATCAATCCATTAGTATGTATACCTACCACAACCCCACCCCCACTCTTCCCTCCCACTAACTTGACAACCAATACCCCCCCCTCCTCTAACCCTCCAACACTCCCCCACCTCATCCCTCTACTTACTCCTACCCATCCCACCTAAGCTATGCCCAACCTTTACCGTCTTCCCTTCGCAACGCTCTTCCCTGCACTGCATGCACGAGTGGTTCAGATCACAGCAAAGTGGTTAGACGCTTACGGCACCGAGGGCACAAGCGCCCATTACCTGCCTCTCCATCATCCCCTCCAGCACCGCCAAGCTCTGCCTCAGCAGCTCGTGCAACAGCCTATGCCCGAATCTCTGAATCTGCTTGAACATCCTCCCTCCCTGAATCTCCTCACTCGTAAGCCTACTATCGCCCTTTAACTAGTTCCTCCTGCAGAGGGCCACATGCAGAGTTCCTCCTCCTCCTCTTCTCTTCCTCCTATTCCTCCTCACTGGAAACACTTCGATGCCCTCTGTCCCTCTGCTTCCCCACCACTCTCACCCGTCTCACCTCTCCCTCACCTCTCTCACCTCGTCCTCACCTCCGCACCTCTTCCCCATCCTCCTCCTCCTCTTCTATCTCCCCAGACGTCACATCCCCCTCCCAGTCCGCCCGAGCACTGAACCACCCTCGCCTCTTCCCACTCGTCGCCTCATCCTCGCCATAAGCAGCCCCGCTACCGTACTCCCCGCTCATGCTCTCACTCACAACAGCTAGTGTTGCCGATGCCGTAGCAGCACTTAGACTCTGGCTCTGGCTGTTCTCACACTCATACGAGTCACTCTGATCCGACCCACTCCCACCCGCATCACCATCACCATCCCGATCCTCTTCCTCTTCTTCCTCCTCCTCCTCATCCTCATCCTCATCCTCCTCCTCATCGTCACTATCATCATCTTCCTCATCTTCTTCCTCTTCCTCCGAGTCCAAGTGTAGCTTCGGCATGGCAGTGCAGGCAACAGGCGGAGCGGCCGGTATTGCCATGGCATCAACAGCTGGGCTGCGTTGCTTGAACGACAGCTCAAAAGTCACTTCATCACCTAACCTGCAATCGGTGCCAGGTCCGTCCCCTTCCGCTGCAGCTCCACCACCAGCAGCAGCAGCAGCACCCACACCCACAGCCTTTTCCTGCTTCTGACTCTCCTCACCAGCAGAACCAGCAGCAGCAGCAGCAGCAGCAGCAGCAGAAGCAGCGCTACCACCAGCACTACCGCTACCAGCAGCACCCAGAGCCACGAGCTCTCCCTGAACGTCCAGGCGGAGCATTTCCACAGCCGTGGCCACCTGGGCCATAGAGGGGCGGGCAGCAGGAGCAGGCAGCACACAGCGCAGTGCCAGCTCCACCACTCCACTCACCGCCGCCACACACGCCGCTTCCACCGCCGCACTCACCAACCCCGCTGCTGCCCCCTGCTTTGCTGCTCCCCCTGCTGCTTCCTGTCTAGCTGTTCCTAGCCCCGCCGCGCCTGCTGCTGCTGCTCCTGCTCCTGCTCCCTTTCTGGCTGCTGCTGCTGCTTCCCCTTCAGATTTCCCTATCACAACTGGGGATTTCCGAGTCCACACAAAGAGCTTGCCAGCAGCAGCAAAACCTGCGCTGCTGCGCCTGCTGCTCTGGGTAACCCCTGAGTACGAGCTAACTGCAGTTGCTGCAGATTCGCCCTCCTCCTCCCCCTCGTCCAGGGTGCTTCTGGTGAAGGTGGAATCTGTGCCGGCGCCAGCAGCACCAGAAACAGCAGTCGTGGCAGTGCTAGTACTAGCACCACTAGCACAGGACTCCAACCCACTCTTAGCACAGGTCACCTCGTTCTCTTCCCTACACACCACCCGGCCACTGCCGCTGATCTCTGGTGCAGCCCATAGGCCCAACCTCGGGTCTACAATCACACGTGGATCCCCGCCCTTTAGAAGCATCTGCACCCATGTGACTATATGGAGGGGGGAGTGGCGCTCGTGGTGAGGCGCAGAAGAAGAGGGGGAGGAGCAGCGGAGGGATGGTGAGGGAAGGGGCATGGGCGTGGGATTGGGTTGGTGTGTGGGAGAGGAGGATTGGACGAGGGGTGATTTGTCCAAAGGGAGGGACCAGAGGGACAGCTTGCTTGCTGTCTCCTCCTCCTCACTCCCTCCCTCACTCCCTTCCTCACTCCCTCCCTCACTCCCTCCCTCACTCTCAGGCTCACACCCCTCCTCAGCAGCCCCATGACTTGGGTGTCGCCCCCTTACCGCTCCTGCTCTCCCTGCTCCTGCTGCCTCCTCCCTTCCTCCTGCACCCTTAGCTGCAGCAGCAGCAGCAGCAGCAGCAGCAGCAGCAGCAGCGAGTTGCAGGTCTCCCTCTCCTCTTACCACGGGTCGCCTTCCAGTCACCAGCTCTAGTAGCAGCACACCCACGCTGAACACGTCACCTGCTGACGTGGCAGCCACGTGGGGCTCCAGGCACGGGGACAGGGACGACGCGCCCTGCAGCTGCTGCTGCCACGTGTCAGTGTACGCTGCGTTGTCACTAGACGTGTCGAAGACCACTTCGTGGCGACTCCTCCCCTGCTCCCTCTCCTTCTGCTGCCGCCCCTGCGTCTGCTGCTGCTTCTGCTGTTGTTGTTTCTGCTGCTGATGATGATTATCCTGCGCTTTCTCCTCCTCTTCTTCCTCCTCCTCCCCCCATTCCAACTGCCGCCTTCCCCATTCTCCCTCTCCCCTCACCCCACCCCTCCCGCCCCCCACCGACTGCACCAGCAGCGCGCGCAGGTGCTCCCCCCCGATCACCCGCGCGCGCCCCTCCCCGTCCACGATCACGTTTTCCGCGGACACTGCGCCGTGGGCGCGCGGGGGCAGCAGCAGCAGGCGGGAATACAGGCGCTCTTTGCGCCTAGGTGGTTCGTGCGCCTGCAGTTGCGCGCGCAGGTGCTGCAGCGCGCTCGTCACGTCCGCCGCGACCTGCAGGCGCTGGGGGAGCGACAGGGGCGCTGCGCGCGCTGGTGCGCGCGCCACTCCCCGCGCAGCTGGGTCGGCGCAGTGCAGCGCCGCGGAGAGCGCTTCCCCTTCCGCCATCTCCAGCACGAGTATCCGCTCCGCGCATTCGCGGCAGAACGCCACCACGCGCGCAAGGCGCGGGTGCGCCATGCGCCCCAGCGCCATGGCGGCTTCCGCAAAGGCGTCCGCTGTCATCGACACCACTGCCTCTGGCGATGTCGCTACTGCTATCGCTCCTCCGCCTCCACTTCCTCTTGCTGCTGCTGCTGCAGCAGATGCTAGCGCACCTGCTCCCTTCTCCCCTGTTCCGTCCCTTCCCCGCTTCCCCTCTCTCTCCTCATCCCCCTCTGACGACCGTCCGCTTCCCGAGCCTCCAGGGGAGGTTGGGGAGGGGGAGAGGAGGGAGAGCTTGGCGCGCTTCACAGCCCAGACCTGCCCCGAGGCTGGGCAGCAGGCTCGGTAGACGGCGACTGAGCGCCTTTCGTGGAGAATGCGAGCCTGTGCGAAGTTATCCGTCATCGCCAGCACCTCCTTGAGACTCATTTCGCGAACGCCTGCCCATTTCGCCGCGGCTCTGGTAACCTCCTGCTGGCGAAGTTCGCCCGTCGCAGCTGCCCCAATCTCATGCTTGCCTTGCTCATTGTCCTCGTTATCATAGCACTCGTTTCTTGCCTCCGCCCCATTTAATCCATCTCTCTCCTTAACGCTAGATTCCACTCCCGCCCAGCTACTCCACTTCCTCTCTTCACTCGTTCCCTCTTTCCCCACCTCATGCTCATCGCCGTTCCCATCCTCCACTCTCCCCTTCTCACTCCCTTCCTCACGTTCCTCACTCTTCTCCTTCTCCTTCGCACCCTCCTTAGCATTCGTCCGTCCGCGCCACCACGAGCCGAACACAGGCCACCCACCTGCCGAACGCACCTCGCCGCCATTACTCTCCTCCCTCTCCGCTCTCGCCGCTCGCTCCGCGCTCGCCTCTTTCGCCTCTGCAGTCGCAGTAGCAGCAGTAGCACCACCAACAACAACAGCAGCACTAGCAGCACCCGCAGCGGAAGTAGCAGCTGCAGCAGCAGAAGCTGTTTCTACATTCTCTTCCCCTTCCTTCACTCCTCCGCCCGCGCTTGACTCACTCATCTCCTCCTCCGTTCCCTCTTCCACCGCAGTCAACCGTTCCAATTCCTCGTTCGACGCCTCAACCATCCCAATCACCTCATCCCCTCTCTCTACACCCATCTCACCCTCACCATCACCACCAACTCCTCCTCCGCTTTCTCCGCCGCGGCTCGCATCAGCGTCAGCCACGCGGCTCGTGGGCAAGCTAAGCCGGCCCACAGTCGCCCACGCCGCCGCAGCAACCCCCGCAATTGCCGCGTGCGCTCCCACCATCCACCCGCCATTTCCTCCAGCTGCTGCTGCTGCTGCACCCTGTTGCTGCGACGCGGTATGCCCCTCTTCTGCGGCCCCTCCCGTCGCTCCTTCTTGCTTTCGAGCCGACTTCCTTGATGAGAAGGACCCGAAACCGAACCTCCCACTACCGATGCTGCTGCCGCCCTTGCGACCAGCAACAGCGGCAGCGGCAGCGGCAGCAGCAGCTGGTGAATCAGCAGCAGTGGCAGCAGGAGAAGGAGGAGAAGCAGTAGCAGGAGGAGGTGAGGTTGCACCGAGGAGCGAGAGATCGGGCGTGTGGCACGGGGACATGAGGAAAGACGGCTCCTCTTCTTCTTCCTGCCTCTCCTCCCTCTCCTCCCCCGCTGCCACCTCCGACTCCCCTTTTTCTTCCTCTTCCTCTCCTAATAGATCTTCTATTTCCACCACCTCTACTACTTCCACTCTCCCTTGCCATGACTCCCCCGTACCTCCCCCGCCTACAGCCCCCGCCTCGGGATCCTCCCACACCGCGCCGAGCTGCGGGTCCAGGTTCGGCACCGCCTGCCACGCCACGTCGGGCCGGTGCGCGCCGGAATGGCTCACGCTGGCACGTGGCGAGCACACGCGCACGCGGCCTTTGAGGGAGTCGCTACTGGATCCAGACGAAGCTGCGGCGATCCTCCCGCGGGGAAGGAAAGCAGCGAGCCAAGCGGACGAAGCCGCGAACCAGCCCCAGCGCTCCCGTGACTGCGCCTCCCGCTCCCCGCGTTCCTCGCTCTTCTCCGCGGATGCTCCCTTTCCCGTCGCGCCACAGCAGCTAGAACCCGCCAGGGTTGCTGCATTTCCACTCTCCTCGTCTCCGTCATACTCCTCGTCTCCCATTTTTTTCACAAGCTGTGGATCTGCGGCACCGCCAGCAGCGGCGGCAGCGGCGGCGGCAGCGGCGGCGGTGTTTGCGCGGCCGATGAAATAAAGACGCACGATAACCACCATGGCCGCTATCAGCAGCAATCCGCAGAAGCAGAAACCCGCGAGAATGGCGATCGAGGCGTTTTTAGACAGCCCGTTAATGCTGAACGACTCATCGCTGCTACTCCCGCCGCTGCCGCTGCCACTGGAGCCGGTGCTGTCGCCAGTGCTGCCGCTGCTGCTGCCGCCGCTGCCGCTGCTGCTGTTGGTACTGCCAGTGCTAGAGTTACCACCAACCCCCGGGCTTCCCGCATTCCCCCCGCTCCCTCCGCTTCCCGCCCCGCCACCCCCGTTCTGCGCTCCGCCTCCCGCTGCCCCCGCGCCCGGGCTCCCCGCCTGACCCTTGTCGCCCATCCACCAAGGGGGTGGCTCCTCCCGCGCGCTGCTGCTGCTGTTTGCCCCTTCCTCCGCGGGCAGCCGCGGAAAGAACGCCGGATTGGACGGCGCGGAACCCGGCGAGGGCGCCGCGACGGAGGAGTTATCGCCGGGGACGTGCGCGCGCCACCATTCAACTCCTTCCACGCGGTCGCCGTTTTCCGTGTAGTACGGCGGCGCGGTGACCTCTCCGGTGGGGTATGGGATGCTGCCGCCATGCATTGCGAGCGGCATTAGCGCATTTCCGCGACTGGAGCTTTGCGAACTGTTGTCTGCGACTGTTACAGCGGTTGGTAACAGCTGCGACGGGTCGTAGCCGACGGGCCCGCCCGATGTGGGGAAGTCTGCGTAGTCGTACGGATCATCGTAACCGTACGGGTCTAAGTGACCGTACGGATTGACTTCTTGAAGCCCGCGCCATTGTAACGAGTGCAGCGATTCGAGGGAGTCTAGATAAGCCCACGCGGGGTTGCGATCGGGGCCGTTGATCCGATCACGATCGTCGCGGGAAACCCCGAGCGATCTGCGCGATTCCGTCGCTTGATGCGACGAGCCGGTCTGGTCCGTCGCAGCAGAGGCGAGGGCGACGAGGAGGGAAAGGAGCACGACTGGAAAGGAAGCCGATTGAGTCCAAAGGTTTCGAGAACGGGTGTGAGTGCGTGGCGATCTGGAGAAGCGATCGAGGATGGATAATGATTGGTGTAGGCACCCCCGCGTTGCGCGGGGTGAAGAGGAGCCAAACGTAGGCCCTCTCATCGAAGACCCGCAACTGTTGTTAGGAGAATAGGAGTGAAATGCTAGGCTTTTTCTTTTCCTTTTTAGTCGGCTCGAATGCACCGGTTTGAACGGCGAATCTACCCCGAGGTGAGGTGGAAAGTTGAAGGTGAAAGGCTCTGAAAGGTCATGGAAAGCAGAGGAAGTTCATGGTAAAATCTGTTGCGCGACAGAGACTGTCGCTTGCTGAAATTGGTTCTGCCGCGTTCGTCGCTAGCATTGCGGAGTTTGGAGAAGTGAAGGCGTGCATGCTAAGTGGAGAAAGGCATGCGAGAATACTTGACCAGGACACGGAATGCTTTTCGCGCAATAAGCTGTCCTGCTCTGTGTGTAAGATTCTACACCTGCCACGGAGACAGAATTTCCAGAACCCAGAAGCAACAGCAGGAGCAGACTGAGAGAGCTCAACGAAGTCAAATTTGGCTGGTGGATGTGGTCGCGGGGGGAGTTATGCAAGTCTCCATTGCAGCAGCATCAGCACTGCCACAGCAGGCCAGGCAAGTAAGCGCTTTAGTGAGCCAATGAGATGGGTCTTGCTTTGGTCATACCTGGGTTTGTGCAGCAGCCGTGTCGTGTGTAATGTGATTCCGCGCGCGCGCTTAGGGACAGGCTGCACTGCACACACAGAGTCCCTACCTGATTTGCCATTATGCACCGCTCCCAGATTCTGACTGACTCGAGAATGTCGGAAAATGTGGCGCACATTTCAAGCCGCGTAGGGGCCCGCCATCGCGGCGCGAACTCCCTAATCACTCGACACCAGGCTGCATCAGGCTGGGTATTGCCAGAGGCGTTGGCGAATCAAGGGGGCAGGTAGGGATTGTAAGCTCGCTATTGGCTAGAAAGGCCTCCGTGTTCTGCCTCAGAACAGAATAATTGTATTCGTTTGGGACTACACTCTCTGGTTTCTTTGCACGATAAAAGTAAAGCCGAGAACACCTAACAGAAATTAACCAGAAACAATGTGTAAACCCAAAAAGTAGCCATCCTTCCCATTTACCAGCAAAATATTCAACTTTCCCTTAGGGCGTGTAAAATCGCCGCACCTAAAAATTCGGCCACAAGCCGAATGGCCGAATTGGCGAAATTAACCTGTTGGCGAATTAGACGAAGAAGCTCGCGACCTGGCCTCTCGATATCAGGGTGATTCACCCTTATGACCCTTACTATAAGGGCGGGTTTTACGATGCACCCTTTTTTACAAGACTGGTTTTGTTTTCGACCCTTACCAAAAAAAGTGATCGATTGTATGACACTGATATTTCAGAGCTATGTGGTGTAGTAGCACTGATGAAATCGAGTTCGATCTAAGAGAGGATACCAGGATTGGTCGCGTAAAACACATTTCCTACGGCGGATGACCCCGACAGGTATCGAACTTGGGTCCTCCACATAACAATGATGACTCACGCACTGCAACCAAACACCCTACATAGTATGCTCAGCAAAATTATTCGACAGTTTCTTTAATTTGTTTGCACCCTGATTTTTAAGAGCAGTTCCTGTGAAGCACCCTTACTGAAAGAGTAACAGCTGGGTGTTGGCCTTACGAGGAAGAGTACCCCAAATCCTATCCAGAGGCCTGCTCGCGACCTTCGCAAATTTCGCCAATAAATAACGAAATTGATGGCCGTTTTGAAAGTCGACTCGAATTCGACACCATGTCGACTCCAATTCGGCCAAGTAGTCGACACCGTCAGCGACTGTCAGGTGCGACGTCGCAGGGCCTCGCAGAACGACAGAATTTTCTGTCTTGTCTAATCAGAAATTTCGCCGTCATATGTGCGACCACGTCGCACATACATTCCTACTGTAGCACCTGCAAATTTTACAAGTTTTTGAAATCGGCCTGGAATTCGGCCCTCAAACCTGTAAACTTTGCAGATCTGCAGTAGTGGCAGTAAATGTGACGACACGAAGTCGACCAATCCGTCGACTTTCGCGAAAGAATTGTCGACCGCATGGTCGACGTAAAACCGGCCAAAAGCAAATTTTGCATATTTGCGGGGATTTTACACGCCCTTACGCAGATTCTGAACCAAGTGCCTTCACTAACCATGCTATAAGAATATGCATTATCTTGAATAGCTGTAGCAGCATATTAGTATCTTCTAGTCTTGTCTAATCACAGAACAAGCTGATTCATGGTAGTTGGGATATGGCTAGCTACTGCTTGCTATTGTGCTTGTTTTTGTGAGCGCAATTCACTTGCAAGTTGCATGGTGAAGATTCAGCATCAGCACTAGAAACTATGACCAAGTGCAGGAGGGGGTGAACAGATACTTGCGCTGGTAACTGTACGGTGGATTACCTGGTTGTCTCCAGTACAGGCAAGCACGAACAGGCTAGTGTTTTTATATGTCAATTAATGTCAAGAAAGCGCATTGCCAAGGCTCTGGCTTTCAAGGGCATAGGTAACGAAGGCAGCACACTAGCACGCACGCAACATGCTGCCACTAAAACCTCGCAGAAGTACTAAACACTTCTACCCTACAAGGAATGCACAGAGAAGGGGAAGGGAACCAGAGACGAGGGCGTCGCCCGAAACGCTACCAAATAACTCGTGGTCCACGAGGGAGGAGACCAGCACCTCGTAGTACCGAATTCCGCCCGGCGCACGGACAGGATTGCTAGGGGAGCGGATGGGGAGGAGGAGGAGGAAGGGGGCGAAAGGTCGAGGTTTTGTCAGTACGTGTCAAACGGGTGATGCCAATGGGGAGAGCAGGCGCGTCGTAAAAACACGGCGCCTCGGCGCCTCTCCGAGAAAAGCGCCACTGCCCTTTCCCGGTCATCAGGCTGTTCGGATGGACGACGGCGATCCGGGGCCTTCCTCCTCGTCGTCGATCATCACGGCCTTGCCCTTGTGCTGGGCACCGGACGGCACGACGCGCCCGATGAGACACATGCGCCACGCGAGGAGCGACCCGAGGATGAGCAGGACGCCGCCCAGACAGCACGCCACCACGATCGCGATCGACGCGCCCTCGGGAAGGCCGTTGATGCTGAACCCGCTGCTGCCGCTGCTGCTAGTGCTGCTACCGCTAGGCGGGCTGCTGCTGCTGCCAGACGTTCCCTGCTCCTGCTTCTGCTGATTCTCGCCGGCCGAGTTGTCACCGTCACCGTCAGTGTGACCTTCGTGGTCTCCGTCGCCGTCTCCGTCGCCGGCGCCCGGAGGCGGCGCGGCGGTGCCGTTTCCAGAGTTATTGCGCCACCACACGCCACTCCCGTCAATACCTTCCACACCGCGGCCGGCGTCTGTATCGTTATCACTCGTCGACGGGGCCGGGTCTTTCGTCGGGTACGGCACCCGGCCGCCGTGCGTGCCGAGCGGAAGAAGACCGTTGGCGCGGCTGTCGCTGACGTCGGTGTCGGTATCGCCATCGCTGTCAGGGTCCTCGTCTGTGATGCCCTTGATGACCAGAGCGGAACCGTCGTCTGGCGCGTCGTCGGTGGGGAAGTCCTTGTAGTCGTACAGGTCGGCGTAGGGGTCGTCGCCGTCGTCGAGGAACCGTCGCTGAGGGAGTGTGCGACGTTGTGCGCTATCTTGGGAGGCCAGGCATGGTAGAACCTGGGCAACGAGGAACGCGCAGACGAGGATGGAGAGGATCTTACACGGTATCATGGCTACTGACTGGGAGTTAGTGCCTCAGTTTTGGTGAGCACCAATGTCAAGGCGTTTGTTTGCTGTTCAGAGTGAGTTGAGTCGCAGAGAGAGTGCTGACTTTGAGCTGCTCAAAACGGAAGAGGAAGCTATCTCAGGTAAAAAGCTACACGGAAAAGAGAGAACTAGGACTAAACTCTGGTGTGAGCAGACAACGGAATTTGAGCTCAACAGGACACGCAGCAGGTATTGTGTGTGTCTCTGTCGGTGGGCACAGGCGCCTCGGGACGCAGTATGTGCAGAATAACTGGGTGATAGCGACTGTGCAGAGAAGGTTGCAGGCGGGCACAAAAAGTGTGCGCGCAAAGAAAGTGCTGGCTGGCATGTGCGTGGACAAATGAAGGGATGTTTGAGGGGGAGTCGATACGAGATCGGCGAACGGGTTACGGGGAGACGAGACGCGACGACGACTGCGCGACGATACGAAAAGTCAAAATTTCTCATTACTGGGGCCAGCTGCGCCGAAAGGAGGGAGAGAGATTTCTGCCAGAATTTCATCGCGCCGTTGTGCGGGAGCGCACGGGTCGCTATTCGAGCGGCGCGTAATGTGGCAGAGGAAAATCTCTGTCACACGCGCTTCGGAGGTGCGCACAGGGTCGGTTCTCGCAACGAAAAGGTCAATTGGTCCAGGCTTGTGTTTGCAACTGCCTCCTGGAGAGCGTGACCTCGGTAACCGATAAGCTCATTATGCTCAGTGTGGTGTACTCAACTTTCACACACGAGAGATAATATATTGTAGGATAGATTGCTGCATCAATTCTCTTTGTCTGACATCTGATTGCATTCTATAACGCAATTTAACTTCTTATTACCCCCTAAATATACAAAATATTTATGTTTTATTTGTAAAGTCGAAGTTATGTAGCAAATATATGAAGTTGGCATTTGCAGAGGATACACTTATGAAGAACAACCATGTAGTGGGCCAAGTCAGTCGATTTGTACAGTTATTGACGGGATGCGATGTGATCCCGAGATCCACGCATGCTGGTCCTGTTCGGCATGCGGATGAGCACAGGCTTGGAACTGACCACCCAAGGCGGATGGCCATGAAGGCATCCCAATTTAGGGTAGTACACTTCCGAATAGGAAAAACATGGGAACAAGTTTCGAATATCCCTCACGACACCAAGAGCAATTTCCAAATGATTGCGCGAAAGTGAAATTTATAGAAGAAAACCACAGCTCTGCTGGACTTCCAGTTCTAGCATGATTACACCACGTGACAGATGTGCCCTCTCTACAGATCTAAGGCAGTTTAACCTCGAGTCACGTGCGTGGAATGTAAGCTTGTCGCACGCCAACCCAACCCGCACCGACTATTTCAGTGTACTGTAACGTTGTGGCTGTTGCTTGCGACCTGAGAGGGTTGCAGTGCGGCTTTCGAGATTCCCAACCCATCTGTGTTTGCACATGGGTCTCCCTGCTCGGGTCGACCTTGCGAGCTCTCATTTCCAGCTTCGTGTCATCCTTGCTACTGGGAGTTTGACACAAGTACAGTGCCATCTGCATCACCGTAGCACAGGAATGGGGCTTTCGGGGCGTTACGAGACCTTCACAGGGTCAACGCTGGAGGAATCTCGCCTTCAGCTTTCTCACGTTTCGAAGTACCCTAAAACGAGTATATTGCACTTTTGCGCTTTCCATGTCAGATCGGAGTCTCCAAGGCTGCTGCCCAACAGGTGCGAGCCTCAAGGATAAAGTGGCGTCTTCACCTGATGTGGGGGATCTGTGAGCGCTTTTGACGTCACCTGGATCGAATAAGCAGCCAATGAGCTTCGGTGTACACTTTTCAAGCACAATGCATTCATTCTGCCCGTTGCAGTTTTCTCACCCAACATAACCTTTCCTGCCGGAGGTGATCGTGTCGCGCAATCCTGTCATTATTTCCTCACCGTGTGGGGTGGAGACTGGCTGCCATTTTCGTCTCCCACTAATAAAGTTCGTTCTGTTCTCTCTGTTCGAAACGCCAGTTTGTTGCGGTTTCTCTTTAGTATACAATAATAAGCATTTTCTGCCCGGATAATCCCATGTGACATTGTGTGTGTATACGCGACTCGAAGCAAGAGGTGGCGTGCTTGTCCGGGATTCACCAGTTACCGCACCACACATCGTTTCGTCGTAGTGTATTGCATTCTGTTCTGTTCCCCTGCGAGCGATCGTCCCACGCGTCTGTGGTGCATCCAGCAGCAGTAAATGCATCCAGCCCAGCCCCTCCATAGTTGGTATCGCACCGCACCACCACCGCTATGGCGTCAGCTTCGTCGCAACACACATAAGGACTGCTGCCACCTCACAATCTAAATCGCAATTGCGATCAAGCTCACCCTTACATAGGCTTCTCGGGTGCTCCATCGCTCAGCTCTTCACATTCTCCCTCATTTCCGCGACTGCGGCTCAAGCACAATCTCTCTTCCTTAAAAATCGTGTAGTTTTCGTCCTCCAATGGCGACATGCATGTCGTCACGGGCATCGCCAGCAACCCAACCTGCGTCGGGCGGACCCATGTCTAACAGGCTCGGGCCTTCGCCGAGCTTTGTTCTCTCAATCGACATGTTTGACGCGGCGAAAAGCTGGCAGCAGCAGCCGCATCCGCATCCGCATGCGCATGCGCCACCGAAACGAGCGACTTTCACGGCGGTGAAAAAATCCGCAAATGCCACCCCGACGGCGGGAAACAGCGCTCCGAAGAGCGCAGCATGCGCGGCCTCCGCGTCCGCCGCCACCTCCGTCGGCGGCGGGCCCGCTGGCGGCGTCAGCTCCGCGCCGTTCCACCTCGGAATTCTCTCCTCGGGCGGCGAACGCATTTGCCCGATACCGAGCGTGGACTGGCGGGAGGCGGCGCGCAAGGCGGAAGAGACGCGCATGCTGGCCAGCGAGGTTTGCCCCATTCCCGCGCAGAACTGGCGAAAAGACGCCCCCCCTCGCGCCGCCGAAACCCGGAATAGTACACTATCGTCCACCCCAGCGGCGGCGGAGCGAGAAGCTCCAGGAACGGGTTCGCCTTCCGCTGCGGAGCGAGAGGGACGGAGCGAGAGTCCCAGCAGCGGCAGTACTACCAGGCCGACGGCGAAGAAGCATCAGACTCCCGTGCAACGAGGGAATCATCTCACGGCCGCCAGCCGTCACAATGCCTCGAAGACGGCGGCAGCAGCCGGCGGCCTTTCCGTGACGATCGAAGATGCGTCATCTGAGGACTCCTTCGCACGCTCCACGATCGAAGAATACTCCGACACTGAGTTTAAGTCTGTGTCGCTGCCATGCTCCGTGGCTCCAATGCGAGTCGGGATTCTCTCCGCGCAGTCGCAGCAGCTCCGGGAGAACGCGGCGTTTGGTTCCGCGGTCTCGCCGGCGGCCTCCCCCACGCCGTCCGCGTGCTCCGCGCGCTCCTCCGTCATCTCGTCCTTCTCGATTGCGCGCCGCTCCTCCTTCTCCTCCTCCGCTTCCAGTTCCGCCGGCGGCAGCAGTATTAGCAGCGGCGGCGGCGGCTACGGCGACTTCACGCCGCCCATCTCCCGCTGCAGCACGCTCCTGGGGAGCGCGAGCAGCACCATTGACGAGAACGACGTGCCGTCGTTCGCGCCGAAGGCGGAGAGAGATGCAACGCCGTCGTATCTCCTCTCGTCCCGCCCAAAATCCCCGCAACGACGGTCGTCCGCCGATTACCACCGCGGCGACGAGGACGGCGGCGCGGCGATTTCCCGCGTGTGCACGGCGCCGTCCGTCGCGGAAGGTGGCAGATCGCGCCCGCCGCGGCTCGTGACGGAACGCCTGCGCCTCGGCCTTCCGAGCCGCACGTCCTCGCTGCCTCTAGTAGGAGGCCTCGACTCCCCTACCGCCTCCTCTGCTAACTCTCCTGCCACGAACGACATGACTGGCACGACTGTCACGACTGGCATGGCGCGTACGAGAATGAGCGGTCATTCCGTGCCGAAATGCTCCTCTCTGGCAAATGATGGTGCACCTGCGGGGTTACAATCACCTGTGTCTCGAACCACATGGGAGCACATGCGAGGACGGACAGTGGCAGCAGCAGCAGGTGTGAAGGAGCAAGGGGGCGAGGATCTAGAGACAGATGGGGAGGAGACGAGAGGGCAGCATTGGCATGACGAGGACGGTATGGGCGAGGCGGAACGAGAATCGCAAGTCGTTACTGAGTCGGCCTGCCTGAACTGGGAAGGTGAATATAATCTCTCTGCCTTTCTTATTCACATAAAGGTCTACCTTTATTATAACGCATCTGTCCCTGCTACCTGCTTTTAATCGTCTCAAACCTTACCTGCTCCCTTCCTCCTGTTGCCTGTTGTCTGTTACCTGCGCAGATGTCGAGGAGCTGTGTCATCGCATGGACATAGCAGGCATCCGCATAGAAACCCTGGACATCCAACCAGTGAATGATGACACCCATCCTCCATCGCAGGCTCAACAAGGGTCATCAAACCTGCACCATGCTACCGATAAGGCTCACACAGGCACGACTGCAGCAGCAGCCTCCTGTTATTCCTTTGCTGGCCGCTCTGGGCCAATGTCTGTTGGTACAGACATGACAGGACTAAATGGCGGGGATTCGTGTGCAGGTGCGGCATCAGTGGTGGCACTGAAGTTCAGCGGCATGCACATGTGGTATTATCCTGGAGACAATGTGAAGCCACTCTTTCGGGACGCCGTGCAGTGGTGATGGCAGTGCCAAAGAAGCTTTCTAATATAGGCGGACCAAACAATACTTGAAAACTCTAGCTTAAGCTTTCCTGTTTAATTGTATGTTCTATTTCCTTTTTTCTCTCAAATATGAGGTGAGGCGCAGCTGTATCTGTATATCTGTAATACATATCGTTCTGGATTGTTTGTTTTAAACCCTTGTAAAGTGGATAATATTTGTTTATCACAGTAACAGGTTTCGTGAACTTCGTTCTCGCCAACCAATCGCCACTGCCACCTCTCCCTCCCTCTGATTACACCCCGCCTGTCCATCAAATACCCCTCACCCCCAGATTCTGCCTTCTTCTGGAAAAACAAAACATTCTCTTACTACCACCATGGCTCCCGCCATTGCGTCTTCAGCTGTGTTCGCGGCGGCTTCGGCCGTCCCTTGCTCCCTTGCTGGTCCGTCGCATAACGCGTCCTGCAGGCCGTCGCATGCTTCGCCGGTCGCCGCATGCGGGGTGTCGCCAGCCCGATGCGGCCCTTCTGCCGCGTCCTCCTCCCGTGCGACTTCGCACCTTCGCTCCGAGTTCGTCGCGTCGCGATCGGCGATCTCTCGCCGCGTCCAGGACTCCTCCCGAAGCGTCGCACGTCGCGCGCGATCGTCGCCTGCGACGTCGCCCACGTGCTCGCTGCCGTCGCTGGAGGACACCCCTGCGACGCCCATATTTACGAGTGACGGTTCAGTCGCCGCCTTCCCCGCAGCGTCGGGCATCTACGCAATCTACGATAAAGAAGGCACGCGCGGGAGTCGGGCGACAGAAGGGGGGGTCGGGGGATGGATTGGGTGGTAGAGAAAGGTGGGGGAATGTGCGGAGGGAAATGGGGGAGAATTTGAGGCGAAAAAAAGGCGGGAGAAGGGTGGGGAAAGTGCGGAGAATGGCGGGGTCAAGGCGGCGGGAAATGGCGGGGGAACATGCGGGGAACGTGGGGGGAACTTGCGGGATTGTGCGCGGAGAAGCTGGCGGCGAGCCGCCGCTTCCCACTCCTCCCCCATTCCTCTTCTTCGCCCCCCTACGCCCGCCCAATATCCCCTCCTTCCCCCCCCCCCCCCCCGTCCCTTTCCCATTCTCCCTTCGGCACCCCCACACCCAGGCGCGCTGCAGAACATGGGGCTGTCGCGGCGGCTGGCGCATTCCCTTTCCTTCCCCCACCTCCGTCTTCCCCCATCCCCGTCCCTCCCCGTTCCCCCCCACCCCCCCCCCCCAGGCGCGCTGCAGTACATGGGGCTGTCGCGGCGGCTGGCGCATTCCCTTTCCCACTTTCCCCCCCTTTCCTTCCCCCACCTCCGTCTCCCCCCCCCCTCCCCGTCCCTCCCCGTCCCCCCCTCCCGCCAGGCGCGCTGCAGTACATGGGGCTGTCGCGGCGGCTGGCGGCGAGCCTCCCCTTTCTCACTTCTCCCTTCCCCTTCCCCCGCCCGCCCCTCCCCCCCTCCCTCCTCTCCCCCGTTCCCCCCCCAGGCGCGCTGCAGTACATGGGGCTGTCGCGGCGGCTGGCGGCGAGCCTGCAGGCGCACGCGGAGGACCTGCCTGAGATGTGCGGCGCTGTCAAGGTAAGGGGGAAGGGGGGAGGGATGGGGGGATACGGGGGGTGGCGGAGTGCGGGAAATGCTGGATTCAGGCGCACGCGGTGACTCTGTCAAGGCGCCGGGGCGGGGGGGTGGATGGGGGAATGGGGGTGTTGGGGGGAATGGCGGAGTAGGGGGAATGGCGGAGTAGGGGGAATGGCGGAGTAGGGGGAATGGCGGAGTAGGGCGAATGGCGGAGTAGGGCGAATGGCGGAGTGGGGGAATGTTGGATGCAGGCGCGCGTGGGGGAAGCCTTGCCCCACCTTTTTTTCCACTCACTCCTCCCCTGCTCCTTCCAGCTGGCAGTAGTGGCAGCAGCCAACAAGGAAGCCCTGGTGGAGGTGTGGATGGTGTGGAAGGCGTGGATGGTGTGGAAGGCTTGTCGGACCTTTGTTCCCCTTGACTTGACTGCCCCTACTGTCGCACAACCCCCGTGCAGCTCGCGGTTGTGGCTGCCACGAACAAGGAGGCGCTGGTGGAGGCGTGGAAGGCGTGGATGCAGCTGGCAGTAGTGGCTGCCATGAGCGCGTGGCGGGTACCACACACCCACCCCCCACGTGCTGACGGTCCGTCAAACCACCTGTTCCCCGCCTGTCCGCCTTATCACCCTCTCCCGTATGCAGCTTGCGGTGGTAGCTGCGACCAACAAGGAAGCTCTGGTGGAGGCGTGGAAGGCGTGGATGCAGGAGCATGTGGCGGGCACGGGCAAGGTGCCTCCGGGCAACGAGAGCGGCAACAGCACGTGGACCACACGGCGCGTGAAGCGCGTCAAGCCTGATCTCCGCATCGTGCCGGGGCCTCATGTCAAGCTCACCATCCCGCTCAGCGAGGTGAGGGGGGAGGGGGAGGGGTGGGCAGGGGACGGGACAGGAGGGGAAGCGGAGTGGGGGACAGGGGGAGTGGGTGCTGTGTGGAGTCAGCCGATTAGATGGAACGGAACGTCATCCATGCATTGTAAGGGGTGTGGGCTGCTCATGCCAGGTGATCTTTGACACGACTCTTCAACACTTCCTTCCTCCCCGCCCATGACCCCCAACTCCCCCCTCCCCCCTCCCCCCCCCCCTCCCTCCCCCCTCCCCCCCCCGCTCCTCCTCCCCCCACCTTTCCCCCCCTTATCGCAGCTGATTGAGAAGCTGGTGAAGGGGAACCGGGTGGGGTTTGAGTGAAACTCAAGAAGCACCTTTTCTCCGCCCTCGCTCCCCTTCCCCCCCCCCTCGGCCTCCCCCTCGGCCCCCCTGTATCCCTCTCCTCTCCCCCCATGTATCGCAGCTGATTGACAAGCTGGTGAAGGAGAACCGGGTGGTGGCATTCATCAAAGGCACGCGGTGCGTTCTTGTCCTTGCGCCTCCAACGTACCTTCCACATGCCAAACTCGCTGTAGCCCACATCTCGCACTGCCATCCACTCCCATCCCTCCTCCCTCCTGCCGTTGCTGCATCGCCTTCTTTTCGTCTCCTCGCTCCTTCCTTCTCAACCACCCATCCCTCCCTCCCACCCATCCCTCCCTCCCACCCATCCCTCCCTCCCACCCATCCCTCCCTCCCACCCATCCCTCCCTCCCACCCATCCCTCCCTCCCACCCATCCCTCCCTCCCACCCATCCCTCCCTCCCTCCCTCCCTCCCTCCCTCCCTCCTCCTCTCCTCTTCCGTACCCTGCCTGCCCTCATATGACCTTTTGAGAATCACTTGTGTAACGCGTTTGTGCGTATGATCCTAACGACTGCTCGACCACACGCCTCCCCTATATGTCTGCCTCCTCTCCCCTCTCCCTTGCCTGTATCCCCCCACCCACCCACCACCCACCCACCATGCACCCACCCACCCACCAGCACGTCACCCCAGTGCGGCTTCTCCCACCGGGTGCTGACGCTGCTGAACACTCAATGTGTGGACTACGAGACACTCAACGTGCTGTCCGCATGCTGCCTCTCTTCGTTTCTCCTCTCCTTGTCTCCCCACCCACCACCCACCCACCACCCACCCACCATGCACCCACCCACCCACCAGCACGTCCCCCCAGTGCGGCTTCTCGCACCGGGTGCTGACGCTGCTGAACGAGGCACGTGTGGACTACGAGACACTCAACGTGCTGGACGAGGACCACAACCCGGGCATCCGCGAGGGCATCAAGGAGTACAGGTGGGCAGTGGGGTCGTGAGGGGGTCGTCGGGAGATCTGGGAAACTTCGTGTATGGGGAGTTCATGGGGGGACCGGACATTTTAGAGGAGTTGCAATGAATTTCCTATTACCACCTCCCCTCCCACCACCTCCCCTCTTTGCCTATGCCTTCTCCCAGCCAATGGCCCACGATCCTCCAGGTATTTGTGAACGGGGAGTTCATCGGAGGGGCAGACATTCTTGAAAACTCCCCCACCCGCCTCCCCTCTTTGCCTATGCCTTCTCCCAGCCAATGGCCCACCATCGCGCAGATATTCGTGAACTGGGAGTCCATCGGGGGCCGGACATTCCAAAGGAGATGCTTCTTTCCGGTTCCACTTACCCCTCCCCTGCTCAACTCCTCTCCAACTTCCTCCCTTCGCCCCCCAGCCAATGGCCCACCATTCCGCAGATATTTGTGAACGGGGAGTTCATCGGAGGGGCGGACATTCTCGAGGAGATGGCACAGTCTGGCGAGCTCAAGGACGTGCTGGCCGCGCCCAAGCAACAGACTGCCGCCTAGGGTTGACAGCGGTTGCCTGCAGTTTCAGAGTGGTTGTCAGTGCCTTTAGAGTGCCGTTGATGGTGCTGCGATTTTGTCGAAGCGGGGAAGGCAGTACTGGCACAAGAGACTCGTGGACCATTTTAGCTCTGCTTGTATCCCCGTCTGGGTTTACCCTGCTGTTCTATTACCAGTACGGTAATGCTCACCCGTCAGGTTTGAAGTTCATACAGGCATGGAGATTTGCTTTGCAAGTACCGTATAGTACATTGAGCATGTTTCAGTCCAGGCCCCTGTGCCTCACCTCGCCACACCTCACCTCACCTTACCTCACCTCACCTCACCTCACCTTTCTGCTGGAGTTACCGTATGTGAGCGAAGGAAAATACCGACTGGCTGTTTTACTTGGCAAATGAGCCAACCAGATGTTCTCGGCTCTCTAGAAAAAGAAAATCACTGATTCTCGTTGGCAGCTCAGCATTCTTTATCCAGGCATGTGCCAGGGTGTAGAAGAAACTAGTATCACATAGTACCCTGCAGGCAACACTGCACTTTCAATGGGTTGATGCCTAAGCTACATGTGCTACCGCAGCTGCCGTATCATCGGATCAGAGAAAACATGGACATATTGATCCATGCACAGCGATCAATGTTATCACCCCCACCATGCTGCAGTATCTATGACCCATTGTGATACACGTGCGTATCCAGAACGGTACAGTACATTAGAATGAAACGTGGGACGCAGCAGTCTAGAAGGGCAGCTGAGGCAGCTGAGGCAGGGAGGCGAGAGTGGTGGCAACCATGTCTGATGAGACGTAGCTTCCTGCCAGGTATGTTGCCATGCCTGCTGCATACCCTGCCAACGCCACTCCACTGACCTGCACGGCACAAGCACACAATGGAACACAGGCACACACAGATGCCGAAACGGCAAGCAGACAATCGGTTGGTTTGAGAAAGCATCACAAGCCATCAGGACAACAACTGTGTGATCGGGGGGGAATCACTATGCAAGGTTCACGTGAGCAGAATCAAAACTAACGCAACCCATGACACAGCACCCCTGTTCTCCCTGCGTCTCTCACCTTGCGCAGGTACCAGAAGAAGTCTGTCTTCTCCATGCCCATGTACGCCACGCCCGCGCACTCAGCACCACAGCAACACAGCAACACAGCATCGTGCCTCAATACAGGAAACTAGCCCCATTCTCCTATCCCCTGCCCCACCCCACGCACCTTGCGCAGGTACCAGAAGAAGTCTGTCTTCTCCATGCCCATGTATGCCACACCAGCCGCCGACCCAATGATGAGGATGGACCCGCCCGTGCCCGCACAGTAAGCGATCAGCTGCCATAGCTCCGCATCTGCTGGGAACTGCGGTGGTTAGCAGGCGAGCGGCACACACAGGGGACCCCGAGTGAATGACAGACCCAATGACAAGGATGGACCCTCCCAGACTGACTGACCCATGCCCGCACAGAACGCAATTAGCTGCCAGTGACCCATAGCTCGACATCTGCTGGTAACTGTGGCAGTGAACGGGTGAGAGATACAGAGAACAGCAAGTGAGCAGAACAATGGGAGCATCCACCCTGCCCCGCTCACTGCCCTATCTCCAACTCCCTCCACTCCCTCACCCCCCCTCCCCCTTGCACATACCACGTTCATGTCATACATGCCCATGGTGGCGGCACCAGAGGCACCAACCACCCTGCCTCTCCCAAACCCGCTCTCCCACACCCCCTTCCCACCCACAACCCTTCCCGTTCACACATACCAGGTTCATGTCATACATGCCCATGGTGGCGGCACCAGAGTCAGCACCCGCCATGCCTCTCCCACAACCCCTTATCGCAACTCCTGCTCTATCCACGTACCAGGTTCATGTCATACATGCCCATGGTGGCGGCACCAGAGGCACGTTGTCAATCCTCGCTCGCAGCCCTCCCTCCCTCTTTTCCCCACCCCCGGCCCCCCTCGACGGGTAATTCCCCCTCCCTCCTTCCCCCCCCCCCCTGCCACGTACCAGGTTCATGTCATACATGCCCATGGTGGCGGCCACCAGAGGCACGTTGTCAATCACAGCAGACGCCAGCCCGATGGCCCCTGCGATGAGCTCTATGCTGCCGACGCTGCTGTCCAGCCACGCCGCCAGGTCCTTGAGCAGACCTGCCGCCTCCAGACTGGCGGGGGAGAAGGGCATGAGCAGGGGCAGGGGCAGGGGCAGGGGCACACAGAGAAACGGAAGGTTGGGGAAGGAAGAGGGTAAATCAGAGGGAATGGGGATCAGGTCCATACTGCCCACTCTCCTGTCCCACCATGCTGCCACGATTCGGTACCCACCTGCCGACGGAGAGCAGGATGCCGAGGAAGAAGAGGATGCCCTGTGTGTCGATGCGCGACAGCGCCTGCGGCACCTTGAGGCGCTGCCTGTCGCTCTCCCCGTAGTGAATGGCGTCTGTCAGCAGCCACAGCGCGCCCAGGCCTGGCGGAAGAGGGGGCCACAAACAAGCACAAGGTATGGGAGGGCAGGGGGAATGGGGAATGCGGGCTGATGGTGAGGTCGCTCTCCCCATAGTGAATGGCGTCTGTCAGCAGCCACAGCGCGCCCAGGCCTGGGGAGAGGGGGAGGGGAGAGGCAGGGGGAAGTGGACAGGAGGTGCTAAGCAATTGGGAGCACTAGCAATGCGTTCGTAAAAAAAACATATATTCTTTTCTTCTGCCCGAGAAGATATGGAAGCGGATACGCACAGGAGTGCCCATGCCACTCACCTGCAGGCACGCCTTGCAAGGAAAGCAGCAGCACAGGCATACACCCACACAGCACTGACCTGCGAGCATGCCCAGGTAGGGCGGGAGGCCTGTGAGTGCCTTGAAGACAGGCACGAAGATGAGCGACCCAATGCCCACCCCAAACACCAGCCTGCCTCGCGGTGCCATGGCCTCGCTGGCAAACGTGGACTTGGCTGCTGCCGCCTTGTCACTGTCACCCACCAGCGACCTGCGGTGAGGTGTGGGGCGGAAGGGAAAGGGCAGGAAGGGTGTGCGGATGCGTGCATGTGATGTGAGAAGCACCGTGCCATGGCCTCACTGGCGAAAGTTGAATTGGCTGCTGCCGCCTTGTCACTGTCACCCACCAGCGACCTGCGGTGAGGTGTGGGGCGGGAGGGGAATGCGGGGCGGACAGCGGGGAGGAATTAGGGGAAGAGAGGAGAGGGGTTGGTGGGCTGGGGAGTAGTGAGTCGCGTTTGAGAATTGTCACAAGTGAGGAGAGGAGGCAGGACGGGGTGTAATGGGGAGGCAAAGGACAGAGAGGGAGGGTGGATAGTAGTGGAGGTGGCAAGACGAGGGGAGAACTCACTTGTCAAAGGACAGGAGCGTGAGCGGCACCACCAGGGAGACAAGCGAGGGTACGAAGAGATCCTGTGGGAACACGCGGAGTAGATCACGCGGAGGGAGAGGGGAAAACGCGGAGGAGAAGAAGAAGTATGATATGATGGCGAGGAGGAAGGAACAGAGAGGAACGGGGGGGAGGTGAAGAGAGGAGAGGAGATACGGGGAGCAGACATGAGCGACGAAGAAGGTCGACGGAAGCAGGTAGGCTAAGGAAAACAGCTTGGGCTGATGGGGTGAGTGAGCAGTAGTATAGATGACTAGCATGTCACTTTTGAGAATTCTCAAAGGTGGTGATTGCTTCTGACGTCCCTCACTCGACTTGCGGTGATGGTTTGAGTGCGTCTCGCAAGCAACTCACAGTGATGGTTTTGACGGTGGAGATCTGGCCGTGAATCCACAGCATGGTGGTGGTGACGTCGCCAATGGGCGTCCATGCGCCTCCCGAGTTGGCCGCAATCACCACCACTGCTCCCAGGAACCTGTAGAGACGGCGTACAGGGTGGCAGGGTGTGGTTGGGCGGTGGGGTGCGATATTTGAGGCGCCTCAAAAATCGTACAGGGTGGCAGGGTGTGGTCGGGCGGTGGGGTGCGATAGGGCGGGTGGGGTATGCATGTGGTGGGTCGTGAGATGGCATGAAGTGGCATGGCATGTTCGATGCTCAGAAGTAGGTGGGTTGAGACAAGAAGCAGGGAGGAAAGGGTAGACGAGGAGGAAAAAGGGGAAAGAAAGGCAACAGGGTCGCAAGGAGACGAGTGGAGAGGAGAGATGGACCACGCCAGCACATAGCAGGACATGGCAACAAAGCAGCAGGGCAGCAGGCAACACAAGAGCTGGGCAGGAGGGCAACAGAGCAGCAGAGCAACAGGGCAGCAGGGGCGCACCTTCGCCTCTCGGGGTCGGGGACGAGCTTGCGCAGCAGTGAGACCATGACGATGGTGGAGGTGAGATTGTCGAGAATGGAACTCAGGAAGAAGGTGATGCCTCCCACCTGGAGAGGGGGTGGAGAGAGGAAGTGAGAGGGATGTGCACATGTGAATGCATGCACACCCGGGAAGGGAAGTCCAAGGCAGTGAGGGGTTTGCAGGGAGGGACGAGGGGAGGGGCGAGGGGAGGGGCGAGGGGAGGGGTGAGGGGAGGGGCGAGGGGAGGGGCGAGGGGAGGGGCGAGGGGAGGGGCGAGGGGAGGGGCGAGGGGAGGGGCGAGGGGAGGGGCGAGGGGACGGGTGCGGAGCAATGCGATGGGATCCAGTGCCAACTTCAGTCGTTTCGTGCCAAGAGCATGCGCACCCTATCCACACGCGCAACCCTGCACTCACCACCGCACACACAACTACCCCACCCAACCACACCCCAATCCACTCCACCCCATCCCACCGTACTCCACCCTCCGTCGCACCATCCAGAGCAGCTTCTTGGAGTTGCGCGTCTGAATGGCGTCGGTGACGAGCTTAAAGCCCTGGTGCGCGTCGACGATCTCGACGATGGTCATGGCGCCCCACAGGAAGAAGACAATCTCCGCCACCTCCCCACAGTGGTGCGACAGCTCCGCCACCGCCAGACCCTGCGCGGGGGCCTGCGCGCGGGGAGAGGGGGAGGATGGGGAGCGCAGCGGGGAGGGGGGGGCGAGGGAAGGGGGGAGGGGGGGGTAATTTTCGTTTTGATTCCAGAGAAACCGTACCAGGAGACGAGGGGGGGGAGGGGAAGGGGAATGCGGAGGGGGGAGGGGGGAGAGTGCGAGGGGAAAGCGGGCGTGCGGGTTGGGTAGAATGGAAGGACGCCTGAAAAGAACTCACGGGCCATTCAAACCAAACACGCAACGACCCAACGCAGTCACAGAAAAGGAGGAAGAGCCAGTGAGAGGGGCGTAAGGAAGGTGCGAGGGAGAGTGGGAGGGAAGGCTGGAGGGAGGCAGGCAGGTATGGTGCAGGCGAGCGAGCGAGCTTGTGAGGATCCACTCACGCAGACGTCGCGGATGACCCAGAGCGCGACGGCCATGAGCAGCCCGACGCCCGCCTTGTTGAACGCGAGCGACTCCTCGAATATGATGCCCGCGTACCCCAGCACGAACACCGCCCACATCGTGATGTCCTGGGGGGGGAGGGGTGGGGGGACATGGGGAGGGGAGGGGGATGGGGAGAGGGGAGGGGAGTGGGGAGCAGGAGTGGTGAGGGGATGGACACAGGCTTTTGAGTGCTCGAATATGATGCCCGCGTATCCCAGCACGAACACCGCCCACATCGTTATGTCCTGGGAGGGAGCGGGGAGGGATCGAGGGAGGAACACAAGGGGTGAGGAAGAGGGGGACAGGGGGAGTGAGGGGGAGGGAGCGAGGACCAGTTAAGTTGGGTGATTATAGCCGTCCGAGTGCAATCAATAGCGGGATCGTCTGAGCCTTCGATAATCACTTAATCATTCACTCTAAGGACACACTCAAGAGAACTAACCCACGTCCTCTCTCTCACCTGGTGCGCCTCGACCCATTCGAGATTAATCGCGGCGGCGCCGACGGCAATGGCGGCGGCGATGACAATGGCCTTGATGTTATCGGACCTCTCCTGCCCCTGCACCTCCTCGTACTCCTCGTACGACATCTCGTCGATCGAACACACCGGGTCGCACGCGCCCTCCGACGCGCGCGGATCCAGGAGCATCTGCGCGCGGAGAGATCGGGAGGGTGGGGGGAGGGGCGCGGAGAGAGGGGGAGGGGGAGAAGGCGGGAGCATAGGGGTGTTATAACCAATCAAGATTTTTCTGAGGCAACGGGTCGCACGCGTCGCGGAACGATCGAGGGACGGCGGAGAGGGGAAGAGAGCGGTTGTATGAAACTGGGATTGTTAGCGGAGAATTGTGCGAGAATTGTATGAAACTGGAATTGAGCGGAGCATAGAGTGATAGATTGACGGAGGGATAGCGCGTGGGGTTGAGGGGATAAACAAGACGATGACACGAGCAAGGCCGAGCTAGCAAGGCGAGGAGGGTACAGCATGGGAGAGAGACGACGAATCCAGAGTAATTCGGAGGTGAGAACATGGCAGCAGTCAGGGTATAAATGACTGCCAGGGTTTGGCGCCTGGGCAGACATACATACCGGTGCAGTAGAATTGCTACCTACATGTGATCAGAACGGTTTCTTTCATTCTGTAAGCGGATCGCAACGAATTCCTTCAAAACGGCATGTGATGGCGACAATTCCTTACATTCTGCATGCGATCGCGCCAAATCCTTTCACTTGGCAACAGTTTTTTTCATTCAGCACGCTATCGCAACGCGCCACGAGCACAACGCGACACTCAACTGGTCCTGTTCCGATGTGAGTCGGAGGTCCTCAAAAAGATACTCACCTGATACTGTTCCGATGTGACTCCAGGAGCGCTCTCGCTGCTGTCACCGCTGACACCGCTGCTGCTGCCAGTCGCGTCGCTCTTCGCATCAGACGGAGGCTCCGACGCGGACGCCTGCACTCGCCACGTGGCTCGTCGTCGACTGACCGACCCAGAGCCGCTGGACGACGCGAATCTGCACGCCGATCTGCTTCTGCTCGACGAAAGCGGGTTCCATTGCGCCGCGGCGGCGTTCCCGCTGCTGTGGATTCTCAAAGTGGACCTCTGCGCGCCTATCCTTGCCTCTGCGAGGGTTTCGCCGCTGCTGACGCAGGTGGTGCTTGTGGGAGGCTTGCAGCGGAGCACGGGAGCACATGGAGCCATGCCTAGAGTGACTGATGCCATGTCGGCAACAGTGAGCGACACTGACTGAATGACGGCAGAGCAGCACTAATGATGACACCACGCAGATGAACAGATCCGAGGCAAGCCGAATTGAAACTGGACCAGCTCGAAATGAATGCGCAGAACCGGCGAACTGAGAAGGCGATAGCAGGACGGAGGAGACACTAAGTGTCTACCTTCGATCCAGGAAGAATGGCAGCAGCAACACCAGCACGCGAAGGTCGGGTGAAGCGTTACTGCTCAAGAGAAACCTACGTGTTTCCTAAGAAAAATCTAAGGAATAAACGAGCAGAAACCTCACCGCAAAGTATGTCATGTAAGGACGGGACCCTGGTCACCCTACGACAGGAGGGTGAGGTGAGGGGAGGAGCTTTGGAGGGCAAGCAGCTTGTGGCTCGGTCTCGGTCGGGATTCCCCAAGCCGAAGCAGAGTGGTTCGAACTCGGCTGGGGAGTGGCACAACAGGGAGCTTCCAAGATGCGGCGCGACTTCAAGCTGGGAAGGTGTGCGGCCTTCCAGAAAAGCGGCGATCAAGCTGTGGCAGGCTCGAGGGCGTGAAGCAAGGGGAGGTTGGTTCGGTTGGCCTTGGCTTTGAGGCATGGGTCAGGCTTGGTTTGCCCCGCGGCTGTTGCTGAATGAAGATGTTTGGCGGGATCTAGGGTGGCCAAACCACGTGGAGCGATGGAAGGCTGGGGGCTGTGCTTTCGTGAGTGACGTGGAATTGGGGCACACTAGAACAGCCGCAAACTGACGGAATATCGTAACATAACATATCTTGTGAGCATCTGGGATTGGCTGAGCCGTTGACGGGATGAGATGACTGATCCCGTCATTTGGTGTTGTTCCTCCAGTATTAGACAATTCAATCAACTACATTGGCAACAACGAAGTGTTCAGCCGTCGACTCATACAACTTAATATATCTTCACATTTTACTGTATTATTGATGAATACATGCGCTTCCTGAGAACGTAAGAATATGATATTTGTGGCTGGTTATGCGAAATCCTATCACACGTGTGTTTTATTTTGTCACAGATCAGATCGTGGTTGTGTCGAATTAAAAATATGTCCAGCTACAAAATCCTAGAAAGGCACCACAAGAGACCAAGAAGACATGCAGATAAGAAGCACAAGAAGAATCTGCAAATTGTGTTACAGGAAGACATCGCCTGGTGGATAGCCACCGAGTCACCAAGTCACGCTTGCGTTTCTCATGCGGGGAGGGCGATTTTCGCAAATTCTCCTCCCTCCCAGCCCTTCGCTTACACCTGCACTCGCCCTTCCATCCCAACCCAACACCTCCCTCCCCCCCCGTTTTCCCTTACCCCTACCGCCTACCTCTCCCTCCTCTCCCTCCTCCCCTCTCCTCCTCCCCTCTTCCTAGGCTCGTACATTTCTTTTCCTCGAGTCACCGTCTCGAGTGCCCTTATCCCCCATTTCCCGTATTCGCCCCCATCTGTTGGACTTCTTTCCTTACCCGCCTTCTGCTTCGCCCCGCCTAGTGCCTTTCGGCTACGCGTCTCTACAGGCGCGAGATTGTCGATTCGGACTACCGAGGTCATAGGTAACTATATTAGCGCGTCAGTCGCACCAACATTATGGGTACGGAGAAGAAGAAAAAGTCAAAGGCGCAAGCCGCCGACGCGGAAGAGCAGCCGTCGAAGGCGCTAGTCCCAGTGGCCGACGGCAAATCCTCGCTCGGCGCGCTTCAGCAGGCGACGGATTTCCTCATTAAGCCGGAGCCGACGAAGCGCGACATAATGGACACGAGCGAGTGGCCGTTACTTTTGAAGAACTACGACAAGCTGAACGTGCGCACGGGGCACTACACGCCAATTCCCATGGGGCACACGCCGCTCAAGCGCCCGATTTCGGATTACGTGCGGTACGGGGTGATCAATTTGGACAAGCCCGTGAACCCCAGCTCGCACGAGGTGGTTGCGTGGATCAAACGCATTCTGCGCGTCGACAAGACGGGCCACAGCGGCACGCTGGATCCCAAGGTGCGCCTCGGTGCAGTTGGGTGCGGTGCTGTGTAACTTGCGGTATAAAGGGTCCCGGAGGCATAGGCCCTTCTAAGGGGACTGGCTGGGCCGAAAGAGAGGAGGAGAGGGCGGGAAAAGGAGCGAGGTGGGGACGGGGAATTGGGGTTTCTTCCAGACGTTATTTTCAAGGGGGGAGTTTTTTGCAGGGAGGGGGCTGTTGAGGGATTTGCGGTGCACGTGTGTTGCAAGTGGAGATTTTTCTTAATGCGCCAGGAGTACGGAATGCGAGCAATGCAGGCCATAGCGTTCGGTTCTCAGGTTTGGGAGCCGGTTCTGCGTTCTCTGGTCGGAAATTCTCGGTCATCGCTGTTGCGAGGCCGCAGTCCGTTAGGGACTGCTGGTAGTTTGGGAGTGCTGGTAGTGTGGCGTCATTAGGCAATGCACATAGCTCGACACCGTTGGACTCATCCTGATCGTTTGTTCTCCTCACCCACTCTCCCCCACCCACTCTCCCCCACTCTCCCCCACCCATGCGCGCCTCGCTCCGCCAGGTGTCGGGCAGTCTCATCGTCTGCGTGGATCGCGCGACGCGGCTCGTGAAGGCGCAGCAGGGCGCGGGTAAGGAGTACGTGTGCATCGCGCGGCTGCACAGCGCCGTCGACAGCGAGGCGACGGTCGTACGCGCTTTAGAGAAACTCACGGGCGCGCTCTTCCAGCGCCCGCCGCTCATCTCCGCCGTCAAGCGCCAGTTGCGCATCCGCACGATCTACGAGACTAAGCTCCTCGACTACGACGCGGCGCGGAACCTCGTGGTGTTCTGGGTTTCCGTCGAAGCCGGCACGTACGTGCGAACGCTCTGCGTGCATCTCGGCCTCATGCTCGGCGTCGGCGCGCACATGCAGGTCCGTGTCGCGGAACGCGCGAGAAACGCTATACCATGTTATCTGCCTCTCCGCCTTCCCCACTCCCTCCCCCATTTCCCCCGTCCTCTCTCGTTCCACCCTCCTCTTTCCCCGGGCTCCCCTCCCTCCCTCCCTCCCTCCCCCCCCCCCCACACCTCCACCCCCACCCCCTCCCCGCCCCACACCCCCACCCCCACCCCCACCTCGCCCCACTTCCCTCTTCTTCCTGTGCTGGCATTGCTATTTTTCTCGCACGTTTGTTGTCGCCTATCTCGTCTACTCCTGGCGTTCTCATCTTCCTTATGCATAATCACTCCTGCCCTTTCATATTCATCATATTCTGAGCTCCGATTTCTCAAATTCATCATTTTCTGAACTTCGATCGTTAAACCTTTTCGCACTACTCCAGGAGCTGCGGCGAGTGCGGTCGGGCATCCTGAGCGAAATGAACAACATGGTAACCATGCACGACGTTCTCGACGCGCAGTACTGCTACGACAAGTACGGCGACGAGACGTACCTGCGGCGCGTGATCATGCCGCTGGAGGTGCTGCTGACGTCGTACAAGCGGCTCGTGGTGAAGGACAGCGCCATCAACGCGCTCTGCTACGGCGCGAAGCTCATGCTGCCGGGGCTGCTGCGATACGAGAACAACATCGAGGTAAGGGGGGGAGACAATGAGGGGGGGAGACAATGAGAGGGGGGAAGGGCGCGGGAGTGAGGGACGGAGGGGCTTTGAGGCGCCGCGAAGCTCATGCTCCCGGGGCTGCTGCGATACGAGAACAACATCGAGGTGAGCGGAAAGGGGACGGCCGGGAGAATGGGAGGGAGGGAGGAGGGAGAGAGGATTGTCTTTTGAGTTCCCTCAAAGCTTGTTCTCCTGGGGCTGCTGCGATGCGAGAACAACATCGAGGTGAGCAGGGGAGGAGGGATGAGGGGGAAAAGGCTGGGTGAGGGAGGGAGGAGGGAGTGAGGGAGGGGTTTTGAGGCGCGTTGAAGCTCATGCTTTTGGAGCTTCTGTGATTATGACAGAAGCTCAGTGGCCGGAGAGAGAGGCTGGGTGTTTCTGCATCCGATTGCGCTAGTGCTGAAGGGTTCTGGCGAAGAAGTGCTCCCAGGTGAAGAGGCTTCGCAAAAGCTTGATGACTAATGTTCCTCATGGCCTGACTTTTTTCCGTCTCTGGGTTCTCCCTCCTGTTTGAATCCCATCAGGTGGGCGAGGAGGTGGTGTTGATGACGACCAAGGGCGAGGCAATTGCGATCGCCATCGCACAGATGACAACAGCAGGCATGGCGTCCTGCGACCATGGCGTGGTGGCCAAGGTGAAGCGAGTGGTGATGGAGCGAGACACGTACCCGCGCAAGTGGGGCCTGGGGCCGGTTTCACAGCAGAAGAAGAAGCTCATTGCGGGTGGCTTGCTGGATAAACACGGCAAGCCGAACGAGAAGACTCCGGCCGAGTGGCTCCGGTCGATTCCGGATTATGTGGCGGCAGCTGCGGCGGTGAATGGGGAGGGGGCGGAGGGAGAGGAGAGGGCTGCGGATGGTGCTGATGTTGTTATGGAAGAGGCGAAGGGAGACGGGGAGGAGAGCACTCCAAAGAAGAAAAAGGAGAAGAAGGAAAAGAAGGATGGGGAGGAGACTCCGAAGAAGAAGAAAGTGAAGGATGGGGAAGGTGCGGCTGCTGAGGGTTCAGAGTCTGCCAAGAAGAAAAAGAAGAAAGAGGCGGCGGATGGGGCAAGTGAAGAGGGGGGTGCAGCATCAGCTGAAAAGAAGAAAAAGAAGAAAAAGGAGAAAAAGGAGGATTGCGACAGTGAATGATCTGGCATGTTTGGTTTTACTTGTTAACTGGAAGCGGCAGCTTCGTTGTACCATTTTTCTTAAAGCAATAAAAGTTTTTAGTATTGGGTGTAGCATGTTCATAAAAGATTCTGCTTTCTTACCAGATCAGAACGAATCTCTTGTCCCAATTCAATCACTCTGCGGCCGCATTTCCTGCTGCGTGGCGCTGACGTGTATCCTGACTCGGCATCGCAAATATCTTCAACCACATTGACCACCCCTTGTCCAATCTCGTGCCGCGTCCGCTCGCGAGAGATTCCGCGTGTGCCCAGAAACCCGCACATGGAATCCGCACATGCCAGCCAGAAGAAATCCATCACTGCGCAAATCCGCCCATCGACCCGTGGGCCAGAGCCCCCGAACATGCCTATAAATTGGCATTCATTCTATTCATTATTTCGCCGAGTTTTGTAAAATCAGTCTTTCTTGGTCCAGCATACTCGTGAGCTCTCGCTATGGAGACTCTTGTACTCGCTAATCCGTGTCGCGCTAGCTTCGCCGGGCTGTACTCTCTCCCGCCCAAAGGACGTGTCTTCTCCACTGACGCATCCCGCCTCGCAAGTGCATCCAACGCGGGCTTCGGCAATGGTGAGTAGACTGATGGCATTCCAAGGCTTTCAAGCTCTCTCCATTGCAGCCTTTTGCCATAATAAAACATAACTCCATGCGAACTGCTGTCATGCGATGCGACGTTCCTTTGCCCGTTTCCATACTGACACCGTGCTTTCCCAGTTCTTAGCTTCCTATTCTTCCATCCGACTGATTAATTTTCATCCTTCTTGCCTGGTGTCTTTGCATCTGGCTGACTCCCCACAACAGTCCGCGCGCTGTCCCGCTCGACCCGTCCCCCTTCGGGCCGCCTGACCTCCTGTTTCCGGCCGAAGCCCGCGTGCGTGAGGGCGGCAAATGGCGCAAGTGACGATCAGCAGCCCCCTGCGCCGCCTGCGGAGGGCGTGGCGGAAGATAACCGCCTGGTGCGCGCAGAGCGCGGAGCGCGGAAACTGACGCGCCGAGAGGCGGTGGCGGCGACGCTTTTGGCGCTGGGCGTGACGGCGAGCGGCGCAGACTCCTCACTGGCGGGCGCTCTTATGCGCGCGGTGCCGTTCCCCGTGGCGCGCGGATGGAGCGAGGGGCGATTCGGCCGCGCTGCTGCCGCGGAGGCGAAGGGTGCAGAGAGGGTGATGACCATGGAGGAAATCGACGACGCGGAGGAAGAGGAGAGGCGGGAGAAGCTGAGGATGAACGAGGAAAAGAGGAAAGAGAGGATCGCTGTTCGGGAGGAGAAGAGGAGGGTGAAGATTGCAGAGAAGGAGGAGAAGAGGAGGAAGAAGATTGAGGAGAGGGAGAAGAGGAGGGCATTTAAGATTCGGACGAAGGAGGAGAGGAGGAGGGCGAGGATTGCAGAGAAGGAAGAGAAGAGGCGGAAGAAGAGGGAACAGGAGAAGGAGAAGCGGCTGAGGAAGGAGCAAGCTAGGCTGGAGAGAGAGCAGAAGGCTGAGCAAGAGAGGCAGGAGAGGGAGCAGAGGAGTGAGCAAGAGAGGTTGGAGAGGGAGCAGAGGAATGAGCAAGCTAGGCTGGAGAAGGAGCAAGCTAGGTTGGAGAAAGAGCAGAAGAATGAGCAAGCAAGGCTCGACAGGGAGCAGAAGAAAGAGGCGGCTGAAAAGGCCGCGCAGGAGAAAAAGGCAGAGCGTCTGAAGGCGGCAGCATAGTTGGCTTGTGGATCCTATTGTGTGATCAGTGCCATATAGATGCCACAAATAGCAAGATCTGGTACATCAGGGGTCAGTGGAATCCAGAGTGTTTTTATATGTATACGCATTTACTATAGTGGAATGCCAGTGTTGTGAGAAGAATACTCGGTAATGTACTTGGCAACAATGTACAGTACGAATCGCATCTAAGCTGTCGCATACACACACACGTGCGGAAAGCACATTTCCTCTCAGTTTCTATCTAGGCTTCAACAAGCTACATAAGGAAACCAAGTAAAATCCTTCGCTAGCCAACCACAACCACCGTATGGTACTCAGAGGAACATTACGCCCTCACCGACGCCCGAACAACGGAAGGCAGCAGCCAGGTCGACGCTTCGGCGAGCATTGCGGGGACTGAAATCAGGGGGTAGGGAAGGAGTGTGGGAAAAGAACGGGAGGAAGATTAGATGTTTAGGTCACAACTCACGGGCGAAATGGGCGCAAAGTTTCTTATACTGGCAAACAAGGAAACCAATGTGGAGTGGACTCTTGAGAGAGTAAAACCAGGGGTATGTTACTACGGACCGCGCAAAAGCGTGGTTGACCCAGCAGCCGAGATGCCGAGATTCAAAACATAATCCGCTTCGTCCTAGCCATACAGCAGCCTTGTCAACATCTAGCTGCTGTGCGCTTCGCGCCGTGCAACTCACCGGCGGCGGTAGGTACACTTCGATTCGCTTCGTCGGCACGTCCGCCATCTCCTCGCCGTATTTCGGCACCACGCGCGGCGCCTTCCCCTCCGTCTTCGCCGCGCGCGCCTCGTTGAACAACAGCGAGTAGTCCGGCACGTCAATGTCGATATCCCTCGCCTCCGTAAACGTCCCCGAGCCGTTACCGCCGTTACCGTCGCCACCTCCGTTAACGCTAACACAGCCACTATCCTCCGGAATGCACAGCGCGGAATGCGCGTCCGCGGTGCTTTGCTCGCCGCTGGTGCTGCTCATGAGGCTGCTGCTGCTCTCGTCGAACATCCACTGTGATCGCTCCTCTTCGCTCGACGCGCCGCTGCCGTCTCTCTCTTCCAGGCCGCTGCAGGCCACGCGTCGACTCGTGGCTGGAGTCGCGTGCTGGTGAAGATGCTTCTGGTGCTGCCGGCCCGGCATCGGCCGGCCTTGCCGCGCCATCATCGTCTGCAGGATGTCGATCTGCGACGGCAGGTCTTCCGACTGAAGCGCCGCGCGATGCGACGGCTGGGCCTGGGAATGGTCGAGCTGACGTGGCGGACCCATGTGGAGATGGTGCTATGCTAACGATGTAACTGGCTCAGGTTACAAGTTGATTCACGGAAGTCTTGAGCAATGGCAATCACCAAGAACGTGGTTGTTAGAAGCAATCGATGAAAAGCATAGGTCTAGCTTGCTGCGTAGTAGCTCGGTCCGTTTCCCCCAGAGCTATTTATACTGAGCCAGCACTTCTGAAATAGGCAGTGCTGAAATTGCTCGGCGGCGGCGATGACCTTCGTCAATCAAACGCGATTTGCCGCCGGACGTGGAAAAACCACGACTGCTTCCAGAAAGGTGAGGTGAGGGATTGTTCGCCGCGCAGCATCCGCCAAACTCCGCCAGCGGAGAATCTTGCGGACGACAGGTGGAAAGGAAACGCGGAAAGACCTTCCGCGATGGGAAGGTGGGTAGGGGGCTAGAGGTGATGAAGGGGGAAGAAGCGGGGGGAGGGGGAGAGAACCAGGAGGAGCAGCTTGCGCGTGAGAGGCACCGACAGCCAGGGCGCGACGCGTGCGCGGTGGTGAGTGAGGCGAGGGGCGAGTGTGCCGGTCGTCGAATTTCTTGGGGCGAAAGAGAGGGGCTGCTTCGCTGGAACCGACAAACACGATTTGGTGGTGGACTCGACAAATGCTTCTGATACGAGTAACGAGTACAAAATGATGTAAGGATATATTGGAACAATGAGCATTCACATGCTAGTACATGACCTTTGTTATACAGGAAAACAGAATTCAAGAGATTCTCTCTTTGAAACGGCGGTTTGGACCGACAGCACCACTGGAAAGGGAGTCAGCAAGTGAAACAAGCGAGATCAATGGAGCTTGGTGTGCGATAAACACCACAACTGTAAGTAGAATGATGCCGAACGCAGCAAGGCGAAATGCACTTATTGGTATGCCAAGGCGTAGCTCCTCACAGACTGCCAAGCGTACAAACCAGAAAGAAGGTGGGGGAGGGGGGGGGGGGGGTAAAATAAACTCAATGATAACACTTGCATTGCAATAGCACATTCAGCAATATTTTGAAATATTAGGTGAATTCCACAAAAAATGGCCAAACTCAGACCATCTGCACGTACCGATATTGAAAAGCACATTCTCTGGTCCTTCACGGCTGCCCCCTGGAAAGACTGCTGTGGGCTCCGCCCATACATGCACTGCTGCAGACGGTAAGAGCGACCGGCCTTGCAGCTGAACAATGAGCAAGGCAACCAACGGGAGCACATGGCGCAAAGGGAGCATGGTAAGGGAAGGGAGCAAGAGGAAGAAGGGACGATGAGGAGAAAGAGATGAATACAGATACGAATCACAGAGTATTTTGCCAATGGCACACATACACTAAAGCTGTCAACTTGGCCATCTTGGCATGACCACCCTGTCATGGTCCTGACATGTCATGGCCATCCTGACATGCCATGACCATCCTGCGAGCGACTGACTTTAAGAACGCTAACACAAGACTTTATTCACCTGATATCATGTCCCCGTCACTCGCACTTACTTCTCTCAAGCGCATGTGTTCACCAGCTGGCAACCCCACCTGTTGATCTGACAGCCCGAATCAACCAGTAGCACTTGCCGCAACCACACAATGTAGCAGATCCCATAGCTGTGCACACATACGCTCTTAGAACAAATCAAGAATCTCACCAGCACGTTGGAGTGTTTGTCAGTCCTGAAAATAACCTTCTCTGTGTCCAGCATCTTCCTGGACTCGGCTGCTAGCGAGGTGACTTTTGAGTCGACTTGAAAGTCAAATAAGGGAACTCACCAGCACGTTAGAGTGCTTATCAGTCCTGAAAATAACCTTCTCAGTGTCCAGCATCTTTCGGGACTTGGCTGCTAGTCCGCTTGCCAGGTCCCCCCACGAGCCAGCAGCACCTTCCTGGGGGCTGCCTGTGGCGGCTTCTGGGTTCACGGCAACTAGGGAGAGATGGAAGCGCGCTGGTAGCTGCGGGGTGGGATGGGGTGCGGTGGGGTGGGATGAGGTGGAAGGGGATGGAAACTGGTGGGATGGGGTGGCATGAGTTGAGCACGCATGTACAGAAGTGCGTATGGGTCAGCATAAGGGCAAAAAATGGACGTGTGGCAATAGATTGTATGCAGGAGAAAGGTGGAAGCGTGTCACTGTCCATGGCGGTACGCACACTCGCAGGGAAGGAGATTTTGATCTCGTAACCCATGCTCGGTCTTAACCCGTGAAGCCCGAACACTCGCCCTTCCCGCACGTCCCCGTTCTCATCCGCACCCGCGGCCGTCTCGGAGCTGCTGCGCCTGGCGTCAGCATCCGCGTTGACGGCAGCGTCCACGTCAGCGTTGGCGTTGTAACGGCCGGCGAACGCCATGCTGACGTTCCGCAGCTCCCGACCCACCTCCAGCACGGCGGGGATCGCGGCGGGAGATGCGGTCGCGTCGACGGAGACCGAGACGGATAGGAGCGCGAGGACGACGATGGTGACACTGAATGGTTTGGCGGGAAACAGGATTGAGACGATTACGCACAACGAACAGATATACGGTGGATGGGAAAGAGATAATGACACGTTTTAAGGCTCAGACTACCACTTGAAAGCGAACGAAACGAACATAGAGATGAAACGGCGAGGCGATCAAGGTGCAGATGAGAGAAATCGAAACTGGATGAATTCCGCGAGGTTGCTTGTAACGAAGAAAATTAAAGAACACCGTACAATCTCGTCGAGACCAACGCGCGAGGTCGCAACTGGGACAGTCGGAGACGCGATCGCGAAGCGCCCGCCATACCTCTCGCCTGGATAGTCGGTGCTCTGCGATTTGAAAAACACGCACGGACGAACAAGCCAGTTTGAGCATCACGTACACCTGATGCCTGTTTGAGCTCGTCCCGGTTGCCTTACGAAGGGGGCGTATAAGCTGTCACGAGCATTTCGCATAAGTTTCGTCAATTCGCAGCTAGCTAAAAAGGATTCGCATGTGCTTATAAACAAGATCTGTAACCTAGTTTGACTTCAGTCTCTTCTGCTTGACTTCGGTCTGTACCTAGTTTGACTTTGGTCTGTTCGTTACTATTGGTTGATAACCACGCGACGCGCTTGTAATGTAGGTGCATAAGGCTGGGGAAACGACCTCGGGTGCAGCGTATCCATCCGGCGCAAGGCAAATTCGCGTGCATGGGGTGAGCATCAGCTGTACAAGGCACACCAAGAAAACGACGGGGGTATGCCCGTATCGCAATGAGTCATGCACAATGTAAGATTGTATTCCAACGCAGGGACACCATGCGAAGTTGGGACAATTTCCGTGTTGCATGGCTATTTCTCCTAGTTCAACGTGACCTACAAACGATGCTCTGAAAGTTGCAATTATAAAATAAACACACGAATTTCTTAGCAATGTCAGTACACCGCTCGTCTCAAGTGTCAGTCAGTTGAGTAAGTGCGGCTGAGTGAGTTCATCTGACTCGCATACTCCGCTCGTCACCCGACACATCGAGACTAGCTACTTCTGACGCAAGATTGGGCATGAGATGTTTTCCAGCCTTTCAAACTACGGGGTAACATCTGACGTAGACTTCCATTCGAAAGCAAATAAAAAAATTAAAAAAAAAAAAACAACCAGGTGTCCCTACTTCGGATGGTGTCCCTACGTAGGAATACAATCTAACCCAGAGTTTTGCTAGCCTACACAAATATTAACTTGGAAAATCTTCTTGTAGACACATGAATGCAATAATTCGTGTACACATCGGAACAAACATATAAATGTTGTTCAAGTATTTGCAACACAGTCGTTGTGCTCATCATTACAGAGTCTCGAAATGACCTTCCCAAGGACATTCTACCACATTGACAGCCACCACCACTGCCACCGCCGCTGCCACTATCATTCCCACTGCTACTCCCACTCCCACTCACCGCCACTCACACTGCCACTACGATTGGTTCTACCCATCACAGGCAACGTACAACTCGTCCCCCACACAACCCACCACTCACCCACTCACCTCCTGCCCACACACACTCACCCACCAACGTCCCATCTAGCCAACTGTCTAGTGAATCACCCACTCGCACACCCACTCACCCATCCCCAACAAGGCAGCACCCACTCAGACCCCCCACCATACACCCACCTGCCCACAACCACCCATCCAACCCACACACTGAGCCCCCAACCCTACATCCATCTACCCATAACCACCCATCTATCACACACAACCACCGTTGGGAACTGCAGCCAGTTCACAGGGGTTGGGAACTGGAGCCATCCTTCTCGCCTCTCAACCACCTTAGGCAATTCAGCCCCCACCCCTCTTCGAATCACACACCGAATCGCCACCACAATCTCTCATGCAACAAGTGGCATAAGTGTCATACGGCTCATCATATGCCACCAACCAAGCACGAGCATCATGCTCTCATGCAACAGGTGGCATCAGTGCCATACGGCTCATCATGTGCCACCCAAGAGGACTCAGCCCCTATCAGTTGCTCACACCCACCCAAGGGTACTCAGCCCCTTTCACTTGCTCTCACCCATCAAAAGGGACTCAGCACCTTCCATGCACTAATGCACACCATGCAAAGGTGGCACCAGTGCAACTCATCATGTGCCACCAACAACAGGTGGCACAAGTGCCATATGGCTCATCATATGCAACTGCCAACCCCACTGCCTCTCACCACCATCACCACCCAACCCACCCATCCCCTCCCACCTTACTTGCCAGCAGTAGGAGGAGCAGAAAGCCCAATCCCTTTCGGAAACAGCACCCACAGGGGCTGGGCCTTGTGGTGAGAAGTGTGGCGGTGGGAAATTGCTTCCAGCCCAAGACTCAAATCCCACCCCTGACGTAGCCAGAGCTGACGCGAACCAGAGCCGCCGGCCGGTCGGCTCTGACGGTGTCCATTAGGCCTTGAACGCCAGATCGGTTACTTGAGCACCGAGTGCCGTGCCGCGCAGATTCCACCCACCACACCCCGACCCACAACGCACAACCCCAGAAGATGCTGCCCCTAAGGAAGTGAGCTGCCTACTCACTCCCATGCTTCCCACCCACCCACCCACCCACCCACCCACCCCACTCTTCACCCCCATGCCTCCTTACCTCTACCTACCTCTACCTACCAGAGCCATGCAGAGCGCCATGATGCCTTAGGCTGCTGGGAAGGGGGTGGAGGAAGGGAGGGGGGGGATGAACGGAAGCAGGGGACTCCACTGTGGTCCAGGCAGGGTGCTACTGGGAGGGAAGGGAAAAGGGAGAGAGGAGGAGGTGAGTGAGAGGGTGGACTCCACTCTCCTGTCTTGCTCCAGTGCTCCCATTATCAGGCTGCAAAAAAGACAAGGGGGGGAGGGGGAAGAGAGGAGAGAATCAGACTACCATACCTCACCTGATACCTTACCTCACCTGTCACCGTACCGTACCTGATACCACATCTCCCCACTGTTTCAGCTAGCCTAGCCTGCTCCCTAACCCCCCACCCCCACCGCTGCTACTGCTGCTGCCGCCGCTGCTTCTGCTGCTGCAACTGCTGCTGCCGGTCTGCTACTCTGCTTCCTCTTTTGCAATCTTCTCTTGTTGCCAAGTGACCTGGTAGCGGGCAGAAAGTGGGAGGGGAGGGGGGAGGGTGGGGGGGACAGGAGAGGAGGGGCAGGAGGAGCAAGTAAGTTGGCATCAAGGAAACACCCAAGTAAACCGAAGAACACTAGAGTGGGCAAAAACGAGCATGCAGAATTGAAGAGAGGAGAATGAGGCATCTGTAGCAGGGAGGGGAAAAGTGGCTCACCTTAATTCAGACAACCCATCCCAATACTCCCCCATTCCATCCCAGCCGAGTGGAGTTCTCCCCTCCTCCCCTCCCACCACATCCACCTGCATGGCCACAGGGGAGAGACGTGAGGGAGTGGCGGTGTTGACCCCCACGCCCCTCCCCTCCACCTGCAATGGCCCACAGAGAAATGGTGAGTGACTGGAGGAGAGGCGAGGGGGTGAAGGAGGAGATGCACGATCAGAAGAAGCAGAGGAGAAGGGGCCACTGGTACAACCTCAGTTACAAGCCACAGACGCAAGGGGGAAATAAAACTAGGAAGGCACCTGAGAGAATACCTGCTGTACCAGGGGAGATCTACCTTAGAAAAAACGGGTCTGTGGCTTGAAGCTTTGGCTGAACCGGAGGCTTGCATTTGAAGCGAGAAGAAACAGGAGATGCAGCAAAGAACACAAGAGAGAGCAGGAGTAGAGAGGCAGGGCAGGAACTTAGCTGCGGGTGGGTTGGGTGGAGAGCAGCTGCTGCCTGTGCACTCCATGTCCCCCGCCACTGCCACTTCTGAATGAGTGAGGGGAAGGAGGTGGGGGAGGGGAGGGAGGCAGGGAGCAAGGGACAGCAGTGAGCATGGTGGGGTGGGGAGAAGAGCAAGCCACGGCGTAAGAGAAAGAAAGAGCAGACATTCAAGCATCTGAGGCAGGGAGGAAAAGAGGCTCACCTTGCTTCAGACGACCCAGCCCGATGCTCTCCCTTCCCACCCCAGCCGAGCGGAGTGCGGCCCCCCTCCCCTCCCACCACTGCCACCTGCACGGCCACAGGGGAGGAGCGCGAGGGAGCGGCGGTGTTGACCCCCACGCCCCTCCCCTCAATGGAAAGGAGAGAACTGAAGAGAAGTGAGCATACGGCTAGGGGTAGAACTGTGAGAGGAGTGCATGGGTGGGGTGGGGTGGGATGGCAAGTGAGAGCAGAGAAGGGGGCCACTGGTGCAGCCTCAGCTACAAGCCACAGACCCAAGGGGGGTACACACCTGGGAGGCTTACCTGCAGACCTGAGAGTATGCCTGTAATACCTGGGGGGGTTTACCCTAGAAAAGGGGTCTGTGGCTTGATGCTTTGGCTCAACAAGAGGCTTGCATTTGAAGAGACAAGAAAACAGGAGATGCAGCAAGGATGAACGTGGAAAGCAAACGAACACAAAAGAGATTGGGAGGAGAAAGTAAGTGCTAGTTCACCATGAGCAGTGAGCAGCACGCAGGAGTGAGTCCAGGGAGGCGAAAGCGCTTAGCTGGCAGGTGAAGAGGCGCCTCCCTGGAGATGCCGCCTTCCCTTTCCCTCCCCTCCACTGCTGCATCATTGCTCCCCGCTGCTGATGCTGCCACAACTGGTCCCGTCAGCTGCCTCTGCTGCATTGCAAGTGACCTGGAGGGGGGCAGAACGGAAGCGAAGGCCAGGAGGGGAGTGAGTGCAGGCGTTAAAACAGGCAAGGGCGAATCAAAGGGATGAGCGTGAGGGCAAGTTAGCAGAAAACCAGTGCAGCGGCAAAGAGAGGTAAGAGGCTTACCTTGAGAGGCCAAGCCCATCCCGATACTCTCCCTTGCTGCAGTGGGATTGCCATGCTGCAGTGCTGCCTCCCTCCCGTCCCCACGAGTCCCTGCACGGCCACAGGGGAGGGGCGTGGGGAAGCGTCGGTGTTGACCCCAGCGCCCCTCCCCTCCACCTGCAATGCACACACACGGCGGTGGTCAGTATGCATGGCATGGGCACAACACAAGCCAGAGACCGGAACTGCCAAATGTGAAAGAGGGCCACTGGTTGAGGCAAGGCCACACGCCACAGACGCCAAGG